TTTCTGGATAAATTGAGGTTTTCACTATATTGATATATGTATAATTCCAGTAAATAATTTTTCTGTGAAAAACATGCTGTCTTCTCTTAAAGACTATTTAGTATAGAGGACTTATAGAGCGCTTTGTCACATGGTACTACGACAACAATCACCTGAAGCTCAACAAAACCAATGAGCTTGTGGTGGACTACAAATTAATGTCTGTTCAGTGAGAGAAACAAAAGACAGAGTCCGATTCCTTGCATGGGTTCACATGCTTGATCAATTAAGTTGACAGTAGACAATTCTTCAATCATGGATGTTGCTGCGAAGAAGCTACAAGTTCTAAAATGTGGATGCTTCATAAACATCTTCAACCCGGCAGCACAGAAGATCTATACAGTCTCCAGACTTTCAAGGTGGGCACCCAAGAATAGTGTCACCAATTCAGTATCTGACCAACTGTGAAATATGGTCAAATATGGTTCAAATATGGAGTTTTTCCAGGACACTATGAAGTCACAGTGAAGTTGACCATTGAGCTTCTCGGATATAAAATGTTACCACTTCATCATTTTATCCTATTAGACATTTGTGTGAAATTTTGTCATAATTGGCATTCTTGAGTTAATCTGAACATCAATATTTTTAACTGTTTTTGCGATAAGCTAACCATCTCCTAGCTGTAGCTTCATGTTAGGGTACATACAAGAGTGGTATCAATCTTCTCATCCACCACTTGGCAAGAAAGAAATGAAGCATATTTCCCATTATGTCCAACTATTGCTATAAAAGGAATAGTTCTGCATTTTAAAAGTTTATCTCTATTTACTCTCACTGCTCAGCTGTAATGTTCTATCTAGACTTCAATACAGTTAATGGAGGACAACTTAGAGCAGGAAAGCTCTCTATAGCCACAACTGCAGTTTATTGCGGGAGTTAATGTCACTTTTATAGCTATTATGTGCCAGAAAACAGAGATGAAAATCTGCACCAGACTGATGCCAAAAGGTTAATGAGAGAAAATGCCTAATTCAGCAATAAAAACAACTGTAAACCTTTAATAGACTAATCACCTTAGCTTGGCTGAGAGCTTCTTTAAACTCAAACTTTTGGACTTTTCCTTTATTAAATGCATTGAATTCTGGGTGGAACACTGAGGCTGTACAGTCTTCTCAGTACATAGAGATATATACACTGTGTCTCCAAACACACACATAAAGTACAGTATGTACGTACAGTAATTTGGATATGCACAAACAGACCCACACATATACAGTTCGCACAGTTTGTCTTCTCCACCACAGCTTTAGAAGCCAGCATTAAGTGCTGGAGCGTAGCTGGATTGGAGGGTTGATAGTTTGGGGTTCTGGGTCTCAGGGGATGGGGTGTGGTGTGAACAGACCTGTTTTGGCCCCTCTTTCTCCAAACATTCTTTTGTGTTTTTTTACCCCTCAATCCACCATTTTGCATATTTCCTCAGCATGTTCTGCAGACATGTGCCAGTACGCTGCATTCAAAAACAATTAGCTGCAGTTGCATGAACATGATGTTTGACTTAACTTTCAAATATTTGAGAAGCAGTACTTGCTTCTTTTATTAACGTTTTGGTGCATATTGAACAGTGCTGCATAGCAAACAGCACTTTTTGAGACTTAAACACAAACCGTAGACACGTATACCTTTCTCTGTTATCCAGGGCCGTCTTCTACCTTCTTTGGTTCTCACTCCTGTCTTTTGATCTCCTGTGAATACACTGCATCTGACAGAAATGCAATCATTTAAAAGCAAATGCACAGCTTTTAGAATATTTATTCTGGATTGATAGCACAAGGAGGAGAGCTTTCAGTCTGGCATAGCTTCTACCAACATTTTGGAAGAACAAAGAAAACATGCTTTCATTATTAGTGTGAAAGTGTGTCTGTGTGTGTTTCTGTGTTTAGTCCAGCCATGGAACATACTTCAAGGGAAAAATGTTGAACCAAGCTCAAACTAAGACCCTCATGCTGCCTATGAGAACACAAAAGGTATGTGAGTCTCCGTATCAGTGGTCCATATGCATGTGAGTGTGCACATAGAACAAAATGCTGTCTAATGTCAAATTTGATCTAATTTGGAGTGCTGTTTTTGGTCGCACACCATTGATTTCACACTTCAAGAAAGGGTTGACAAATGACAGACTCAGCAACTCATCACTCACTTTCACAGATGTACAAATGTCACATACTTAAACACATGCATAGACAACACACACACACACACACACACACACACACACACACACACACACACACACACACACACACACACACACACACACACACACACACAGTGCCAGCAGTAGAAGCAGCATAAGGTGAGCAGACGTGGCTGGCAGAAGGAATTCATCAGACTGACGTACCGTGCACATGATCGGATTTCTTTCATCTATTTCCCCCATCAGTTCTACATCAGGGGACATTCAAACTTTGTGTCACAGTCCTACACTGTTAATGAATGTCCCCTTTATTGCTTGTCTGACAATGTGACGACAAATCTATGTGGCCAGAATACAAGATAAAGAATGATTTATCAGCTACAGATAAACATACAGTATGCTGTGCAGGGTGGTCGCAGCCAAATACTGAAAACGTAATAATTGTCAGCATGTACGTCAAGTAAATGTGCAGATGTTTGCAGGTTGTCATTGAGGTCAAATGTATGTGAATAAAGCCACACTCATACTGTATATCTGCAACTAACAATTGTGTTCAGTATCAGTTAATCTATAAATCATTTACACGGTTGTACTCCACATACTGTCAGGAAAAAGGTGATAAATGGCCATCACAGTTTCCCAAAACGTTTTTAAATAGCTTGTTTTATCTGACCAAAACCCAAAGATATTCTGTTTACAATCATTTAAGACTAAGACAAGAACCAAATATTTATATTTGATAAGCAGGAACCAAAGAATTTCTAATATTGTTCACAATTAATCACTAATCAGAATTGTTCCCAATACATTTTCTGTTAATCAACTAATGGATTAATGGACTACAGGACTGTACAGAAATGATGTGGGTGGTGAAAGGGGGCTTAAACTAAAGTTCCACTTTAAAATAAGAGCAAAACTGAAATACTGGGACTGAACCCTCCTCTCTATTAAAAACACTCTCCCCACCAAATGTTTAACTTAACTGTTTAAAAATGTAATCCGTAGACTCTAAAATTAAAAATTGACATAGTCTCTGTGACATCACCCATTGGTTTCTTAAGAGCTGTTGAGAAGATGTTGGTATAATTTAAACGGTTATATAAAAATTCACACCCCGTACAGTTGCAATTACTGAAGAATTTAGCTTTAGAGACTGAAACTGACTGAAACAGCCATTTTAATATGGGCCCCTCTTATATGGAGATTGACTCACTTCTTTAGCCAGCCTCAAGTGGCTGTTCATGGAATTGCAGTTTTTGTTACTTGGGTGTTGGTTTCATTTGCCAGCCATGGAGGTCACTGCAAGGTTTAATCCTTGAATCCATTTCAACTTTAATGTCTTAATGGAACTTCTAATGTGTGTCATCAACATACATATTGTTAAAATGTTTGGCATATGGCAACATCATGAATCATGTTGCAAGTGAAAGTCAGACTTCACCCTTTTCTGACCCTCTATCCCATCTAATAATTTTTGTACAGTCCCTAATCAGCTTTCAACAGTATGTATGTGAATTTCAAAAACTGAATAAAAACAAACTCATCAGAATTATGACTATTTTGTGATGAACTGAAAATAATGATTTGAATGAATGAACTTTATTTTGGGGTCCATTGGACTAAAGAATCGATAATATCTAACAATAACACTGCCCCTCTCTCGCACACATGTACACACATATTGTAACAATAAAACCCTACCCTCTGCTACTTTATCAAAACATTATGGGAGTTAACCTTATTTCTGAGCCAAACCAGCACATTCTTGAAGCTGCCTGCTGTTGCAGAAGTGAGAAAAAAATGACAAAAAGAAATGAAGGAATGAAGGGGAGGCTTGATTTATTCTGTCTTATCAGTCCAACTCCACCCACTGATATGGGATGAATACAGATCAGATGAAAGGTATAATAATAATAAAAATCCTCTTACGTGCTTCAGAGTGGCTAAATGAAGCTCTTCCGACAGCAAAGAACATATTCAATAATATGGTATTGTTTCATCGTTATGAGTTTCGTCAAAGAAATTATCATGATACATGTTCCATTTTTATTTATGTGAACATTTGACGGCTAAGCACAAGCTGGTTTCTCTTACATGAAGTTCACAGAAAGGGTAATTATGCAACCATTTCAACAGTCACAGTAGAGAGTGAGGCTGCAGAGTGCCTCGTTCTCATGAGAGAGCGGATGATTTCCAAGAAACAGTTGTGTCAGTGATCATAGAGCTTGTAGCAGACCCCCGAGTGTCTCTGAACCACACTCTGGGACGGATGGCCATATAAGCTCCATTTGTTGTTTATTAGAAGAAGAGAGAGGAAGGAAAGGAAATATAAAGATTGCTCACACTTGTTGCTAAGGGTGTTGGTGCAGAGTTTTGCCACCAGGGAGCATCAGGGACTGGATAAAGACAGACTTCTGTTTTACTTTATTGTCCTGTGTGTCTGTGCAACCTTTTTTTGGCTTTGTGTCAACATTTGTTGTTGCTATTTTTCGCCCTATATCTTCATTTGCCTATAGGTTAACATTAACTGTACAGGGAATCAAACAGAGCTTCATAATGTTGGAAATCCTTTTTCATGCAGGTGAAGCTGACATAATGATTTCATATGACATTTAGTAAGATCATCACACACTAGCTGTCTACCCTTATATGAAGCACCTGGCTGTTTGCAGATAGTTTGCTCGGTTCTCAGCTGCTTTACATTGCAAATACGCCCGTGTTTACATTTGCTCCACACTGACAATGGTCACTATGGGTTACCTTGACTCACAACACAGGTAACCAATCAGAACTCACAGGGGGGGCAGTTCTCTGGAAAAAAAAGAGGAAGCAATAAGTGACGGGCTCTGAAGGGAAGAAGAAAAAAATCAACACGATCTACACTGATCTAAAGTCTGTGTGGCACTTTCCTTGGTGAGTGGAAATACGCAAAAGGAAACTGATCCCAGGTCTGTAAGTAGATGAAGCTTCTTGGTTTGCCAAAAGGGATGAGAACAATTTCCGTTTCTCTTCTGGATCCTCCAGGCAGCTGCTGCTCTGCCACATACAGACACAAGCTATAAACACAAGGTAAGCCCACCACTTCTTATACCATATAACAGGCCTTCCACTCTGCTGACAAATACTTCATAAAACTCATGCAACAAAAGAAAACCAAGTACTAGTAGCTCTTTGGATGACTGTATGTGCTGCATGACATGTGCTGAGGAGAAAGTGAAAGTATTTTTCAGAGAGTGTGTGAGTTTCTGAGAATGGCTGTTTGACGCAGTTTAAACACACTGCCAAAAGTGTTTATCAAAAAAATACCAGTATATGATTGATTTACTTTAAATGTCAGCTAAATCACACACATATACACACACCAGGCGGGTTGTAAAAACAGAGCATATTGTGACCACCTCCACCATTCGATTCCACCGATTCCCAATCTCCTCCTCGACACACACACACACACACACACACACACACACACACACACACACACACACACACACACACACACACACACACACACACACACACACACACACACCATATTTCACTGTGTTCATTTAACAAGGCCCGGTTACCCCAAGCAACAAGAGGGGCTTATCAGCTGCTCCCTCACTTGCCATACTGTTATCAGCCTGGCCTAGTTCACACATACACACTCTCTGCCCCTTTCTGTCAAACACACCCGCACTCTCTATCTCGGTCTCTGACTCTTACACACGCACACGCAAACTGGGGAATGAATGTTATGGGGGCTTATCAGTGTCCTTAGGGGCCTGGCAGCCACTTCACAGACTCAGATCCCAGTGCCGAGGCCACAGAGACAAACCTATGTGACCAGAGTGCTGATGAAAACAGGCTCTGTGCTGTTAGAGACATTCTCTATAGAAGTGGCAGGCTGCAGGGCACGCTGACAATGAACATATACACATGGCACAATGGCAGGCAGCGGTGGCTACAATTCAAAGAAAGACAAAAATGGCACAAATACAGAAGTTTTGTCAGTGAATTCTCATTCTTTGTTCACCTCTATGACACAAAATACAAGCTGCATTTGTCATGTTTTAGTACTTAATTACATTCATTGACACTAAAACAAGCATGGTTGCTGGCCATGATGTACATCTAAGGCCGGATTTTCAGGTGAGGAAGTGGAAAGTGGCTGTTGGTTAATTACATTTAACCTGCAACTTCAAGACACTCCGAATAACTAAATGAAGAAATTAAGGTCATGTTATATCATTTAACAACATATGTTATTTTGATTAAAAATGCCCTCAAAACACATATTAAGACATTTAAACATGCTTGGAACAATAATGTGTGTCTAATATGTTTTTTTCCGTTAAAATATTTCAAAGTCCATTCTCAGTGTATGTGCACTGGTGGCTTCAGATTTTTACATCACACAATAGGTTGCATACTGGACCGAGGTTGACTTTCTAACTAATTGTGATGCTCCTAGTCCCCGCCCCTTAAAATCAGATGTTCAATGAGCACAGAGAAACTTTCCACTTTCAGCAGATGAATGTGGAAACATCCTTCAAGTGTCAAACTCTGCACAGACATATTTTTATTTTTAATATATCTCTACTCATAATTTTCACATAGGGCAAAAATAGTGAAAAAATACCCACCACATTTCCACAGATCAAGCTCATGTCTTGCTTTGTCTGACCAACAATCTAAAACACAAATATATTCAACTTAATATCATAGAAGACCATTAGATATTCACAAGAGGCTAGTACGAGATCATTTCTGATATTTTTCTTAATAATAATATTTAAACAATCAATCAGTAATTAAAACTGTTACAGATGCTGTTAATTTTCAGCTTTGTATTCAACATACAAATACCTCCTAATACACTCCTTCATTTCCTTTCATTTCACTCGTGTCCTATGTAAATCATTGAGCACCAAACAACCGCACACATCAGAGGAAGTTGAAAATGAGAAGGCCACTGCCGGCAGAGATGTTGGCAGTGGTCTGGCACAGGAACTCAGGAAGCGGTGCCTCCTAACTGAGCTGTGCTTCCTGTGTGATAACTGACCCAAACATGTTGTGCCTCTATCACACATACACATAAAGACAAAGAAGCGCACTCACATTCTCCCTCTCTGTGGCAGCTGGGGTATACAAACCGCCCGGACGGTTTCAACCAAATTGAGGATTAATGGGATTAAAACGTAAGAGTTTAATGATTATATTTCATTCCTTGGAAGCGATTTGTTTACAGTGGGAGCTCTATTGTATGCAAAACCTGAACGCTGGCATGATCTTAAACTGGGTGAGTGCAGGTGTTCCAACAATGTTTACAACTTTAACTTACATTTTAGACTGTTATGAGGGTGAGAACGCTGTACAGCAGCAACATAAGAAGCTAATTTCTTTTGACGGTTAACTATAACCTCAGAAATGCTTAGAAATGAAGGACAGAGGATCAGGGATGGTCAGGGTAAGAAGAGAAAGGACTGGGACTGAGCGATTAAGGGAAGAGGAGCTGCGTTTGTAGTTCTGTTCTGACTGTCCCCTTCACAGTCATGTTGTAAGGAATGTGCGTGTAACGCCCCTGAAACCTTGAACATTGTGCAAAGACATGATGTTTCAAGTTGCCTCCCCCCTACTCGTACCACACACATACACACACACACACACACACACACACACACACACACACACACACACACACACACACACACACACACAGCCCAGGCACACATTGCAGTGCAAACGCTTCCTTCCTGTTGCTGGTTTGGCCTCTTTTAGAAGCAAGATAAGAGCAACAGAATGAGATATATAAAAGAGGGAAGCAAACTGTGCTGTTTTTCTCTGCCTCTCAGATCACAGTGACCGCATTCCTCTATTTGGACATTTTTATTTAAAAAGTTTAACAGTTTCCACCTGATATTCACTGCAGGTGTGGTGCTCTCACTTTGTGTTTTGCCTCTAACGGCTCTCCAACCACCACCACCACCACCATCACGCACATTTTCTCATGTCACTCTCTCTCTGTTCTTCTTTGGCAGGTTCAGTCAAGACCACAGGGCAGTTTAGCAGCCCCCACTTCCTCATCGAGAGCTGAAGTAGAGCGAGGGAACATGAGTTTCCTGTGACGCCTCTGTGTCTCTGGTCAATTAGTTTACTCACATCACTCTTCCACTGTTGAATTGTGCTGCATGGAAAGAGACGGGCCTCATCGAATCCTGGGGGAGGCTGTCTTGTAGTCAGCTGCTGTTCGTCTAAAGATTCTTTCCAAAAAGTGGATCTGCCTGGACACAAAAACACGATTGGACCTGTGCAGTTATTCATAGCCTTCTGAGAAAAGCTGTGATGCTGTTTTCACACAGTTAAGGTCGCTTTTTAGATATTCAGTCATGCTTCAACAGTCAGAGCTCATCTTTGACTTTGCCAGTGACCATGTTAACATGTCACAGGTACGTAAATGTAAAGCAGTGATGAATCTCTCTGAATTTTGTGTCGTAACAGAGCTGGCATGTGATGCAGCAAGAAAAATCAGAGGAATCGGACAAATCGTAATCTAATCTAATTTTCTTTGTGCGTGTTGTAGCTGGGGGTTTACTCGGATTACCCCGCTGTGATTGTGGAGCAGGTTCCCCATCCACACCTGTTCTCATATACTGGTCTAGCGTGTGAACAGTCACATACAGAGGTGGATCACCAGCAGCTGCTCAAAGGTCAGTGCATGCAACAGACACAACACACACACACACACACACACACACACACACACACACACACACACACACGCATTCACATTTCATGACTGAAGCTCACCTGCCGCCCAGTGGTCTATTCTAAAGGTTATTCAACGGTTTAAAATGTTTTAGGTTTTATTCAACTCTTTCTAAATTAAAAGCAACACCAGGTATCACACAGAGCCTGGGACTACACATGCGCAGTCGCAACCCTCGCACATGGACCACCCTCCGCAAAAATTCAGGAAGTGAAACAAAACATTCCTGGCTCGTGGCTGGGAAAGACAGTTAATGAATCATATTAGGATGTAGACGTGGTCGATTCGGGCTACAGCACATATGCTATAGCTTGTTCCTCACCAGTGCTGGGAATTAAAAGTAAGTTACATGACTGTATCGGGTTGTTTTTCCGACATTGTTCTGGTTGGAGCGAGCAGCTGAAGTTGGGCATGGCGAGGCTCGTTTAAGTTAGCTAACGGTAACTGCTTAAAAAAAAACCCACTCACAGACGGTTATGCACTGTTTACTTCAAACTTACTACCGTTTTGGGGGCTGCAACCTACCTGCTGCGTTTCTTTAAACGTGGCTACGTGTTTTGACAGGTCGTTTGCTGGTTTTCTCGGCGGCAGAAAGTGTTTGAGCCCACGATAAACAGCTGTTAGCTAGCAGATGTTCTCTAGCTCACTGCTGCACAGCCTGTCCACGACACATAAATAAATGCGCGCTGAACAATAGACTCCCTTTTGGTGTTATTTTTCTCTCAATGGCACACATATGGAAAGATGTGGTACAATATAGAAGCCTATAGCTGCCCATATTGTTTGTGTTAAGGTAACAGCTATGTCAGCAGTGAAATATGAGGCAGATATTAGTATTCTTTATCTAATTGTGCACTGAACTGAAGTTTAGTGGGTGGAGGACAGAAAAGGGTAGGTTAATATTTGCTGGTTGTAACAAGGACAAATAACTAATAAAACTGCTGCTCCATCATCCATTTGTGTCATTAAAGGGTCAATTCCTCCAGACTATTAAACAAAAATGTAATCTCTTTTACCTCCAGGGTAATGATTCCCAACCAGGGAGCCCTGCAGTTACCTGGGGCTACAGATTGGGAAGTAGTTAATTTGAGCTATGTAGTGTATTTATTGCCACAATAATGAGTCACATTTCAGCTATGATAGGCCATCTGCACACAGACAGTTTTAACACCCCAACCCCAAATTTTGTGATCAAGAATGTGTGCAAACTAGACTGTAAGAGTAGATAGCTAAAAGTAATAAATAATGGTTGTGATGCCAGGTTGCTGCCACTCCCAACTGGTACTGGCATGAGATTAGGGATGGGAGTTGATAAGATTTTATTGGTCCGATTCTTTGTCAGTTCCCTTACTGATTCCTTATCAACTTTCTTTGTGGAAAATCAAATGTCAGTGCAACTGTTTTATTATCTTTGTGTCTAAGAACGGGGTACAGAAATCAGAGTTATAGTAGTTTTAGTTCTTTTGTGAAATGAGGCCACGTTTTGAACTGTTTCTTCCTCTCCGCCATGACTGAAATGGCTTTTTGGAAGTTTCCAGCAGTGTAGACACATGAGTTTGTTTTGTAATGAGAGAAAGACACGTAATAAAAAACATGCTGGCATTGATAAAAGAAACTGATTAGCTTGATGGCGTACCATTCTGATGGACCAGACAATTTGGAATCGGTTCTCAAGTGGAGCTGGTTCTTGATTCCCATGATCCCTACATGAGATGGAAACTTCAACAAACTGGGGGAAAAAAGCCACAGCCTAAATTAAACATTAACAATTATTGGATCACTATGACTTGTATGAATTTAAATGTGCAGCCCCAGATCCGTCTCAGGCACAGTTTTGTCTGTGGTGGATTACTTTTGAACAATTCCAGGAAAGCCCATCCCATCTATTGAGACGCTACAAGGAAAGGGTACTTGAACACATGTGATCGGGCTGTAGGGGCACGTCAGACAAAAAAGGCTGTGAACTCCTTCCCTTGTCTGTTAAATGTCTACCATTAGAGAGACGCTTTATTTGAGTTTCATTTGTGGCTCTCACAACTTAGGCTGAGCGATATAGACATCTGTAGTTTTATGTTGTATTTCATGATATAGTTGTCTGGAAAATCACTTGAGAAAATGTGGCTAAAGTAACTAGACAGGAATATCTGCTCTTGGCTCTCAGCTAATCCAGAAAATTAAGTACAAGTTGGGTCCACCTGCTAAAAACTGTTTTTGTATATTACTCCCTTCTCTGTGCTCTGTAGTGGAGCCATGTGAAAGCGGAGAAGAAGAGACCATGGAGACACTTGTTGCTGCTGACTCGCTTCTCAGCATGGACTGCCCTGATGCTCTCTCCCTGGAACAACACTACTGTAAGCACACACACACACACACACACACACACACACACACCTGAGTTAACACTACTCACATGCAGTCTGACAGAGTGAAGATGTCCTAGTAAAACCTCACTGTCTCTGCTTTTTGATCTAGGACATGTCTGACTGCAACATGTTATTTTTAGACATGGTGGTCACAGTGCTGTTCTCTTTCATTAAATCTGTTTATGCCCCCCTGCAGCCCAGACCTTCTTACCGTCACTGGGTGATGTCATCACTACTCCTGTTACCCAGGTGACTGTGTCGGCAGAGGGCATTGTGGGAGCTGTTGACAAGCCCCAGTGGCCCTTGTTGCACACAAAGAAGCCTGTGGCACAGCTGCAGTCCAAGAAGAGAGGTCAGTGACATTCTGTGTTATCAGCTGATTGGAAACTAAATTATGGCTTGTGTGATTGTATTAAATATTATGTCAGTGACCTGCTTTTATTCTCCAACTACTCAGGGAGAAAACCTCGACATAGAAGGGCAGAATCTCCAACACCAGACATTATAGTGAAGAAGGACAAATACAACAAAGGTATTGTCACGCGTAACAACATTAGCTGAGCCCCTTTCACCTCATTATGTCAATGTGATGGCAATTTTACATGTTTATGTCATGTCTGAATAAGCGCCAGAGTTACCTTCACATGAAAGTCATGACAGCAATCTTACTGGGTCAGAGGTAGTAACATTTCCATAACCCTTATTATGTTTGTGTTTTATTATTATGTTAGTAAGAGAGTAACAGAAAGGCAGCAGCAGTACATACACAGAGAGAAATGAAATGCATGTCTTCTTTGTCTTCTGAAGAGCAGCTGTAATGAACTACTCAATTATAATTTCCAATGCATAAAACACAGAATAGTACCTGACAAAAAGTATTCAAAAAACATTTGAATACAAACAATATTTGTATCATGCCAGATTAGTTTATAGAAATAGAAAGTAAAAATCCCCCAAACAGCATTCCCTCACTATATTTTTATGGATAACGAATGAATATCCAGCAAAAATGCCTTACATATGGCATGTGACAACAATTAAGTGTCCGTCTTAACGTTTTGTCATTCTGTGTTGTCAGAGATATGCCGCAGAATTTGCTATTTAAAATCGTTAAAATGAAACTGGTGAGAGAACTTGCATAAGCACATGGCTCATGTCCTGTCATGTCTGAATAAAACTGTAAGAAATGTTACTGGATGTGGATTACAAAAGTGAAAGTCTTTACTTTAACAAACAGATGAAGAGATAATGCCTTCGATTGATGGATCACAGCTTTTACAAAAGTCATTTCCCATGTTGTTTCTTTGTCTCTCCTTTTTCATCATGTTTCCTGTGTTTGTGTTTAAGGAGGAAACACTCTGTACCTGTGGCAGTTCCTGATGGAGTTGTTGCAGGACCGACAGGTCTGCCCCCGCTACATTAAATGGACTAATCCTGATGCAGGAATCTTCAAGTTGGTCAACTCAAAAGCTGTGGCCAGGCTCTGGGGCAAACACAAGAACAAGCCAGATATGAATTATGAGACAATGGGCAGAGCACTCAGGTAAACAATATACAAAGAAATACCATAACCTGGTTGTGTCTTTATTTTTAGGTGTAGATGCATGGTTTGCTTATGCTGAACCTTTGTGTTCATGTAGGTACTACTACCAGAGGGGCATACTGAATAAGGTAGAAGGCCAGCGTCTCGTCTACCAGTTCACCTCTCTGCCCAAAGACATGATTTATATCACAGATGGAGACAACGCCAAAGAGGAGGAAGACTATGACGACAATAGCGGCAATGATGAAGGTGTGAGCGATGACTCTGATGACAGTACAATACTTTCCAGTGACCAATCAGTGGATGACGAAGATTTACACCCACCACAGAAGAAAATGTTGTCCAGCTCTGTCCGAGCCCCAGCCACCCAGCGGACCAGGCCTGCTCCCAGGCCCTCAGCCCAGCGCGACACCGTCCTGCGGCCCACCAGCACCAGCTTGATCCAGGAGCAGCATTTGCCTATTGTGTCAGCTGAGATGCTGCGGACCCTCCAGAACCTGCCGAAGGTCCAGTCCCTGCAGCCCGCTGGTCACGCCTCGGTCTTCAGAACGGCTCAGCTGCTCGGTAGTCTGTGTGAGCGACAGGCTGCTGCTCAGGTGGCTGTGGACAGTAACTGTGCACGGGAGACCCCTAATGAGAAGTCACACCCAGGACAGAAAACTTCACAAGTGGAAACTCCACAGCTGGTTCCCTTAACTAGCTCTGACCAATAGAAAAGACCAGACACCCCCAAACACACACACACACACTCCACTGACTCAGGACCAGTAACAGAGCTGCACTTTGCTGTGGCAATCCACACCAGGGCCTATATTTCTCAAGCGTGTAAGAGTGGAAGTATTGATCTAGGACTATTTTTGTATTTTAGACTATATTATGAATTAGTAACAAAAGTAATTCTTGATCAGTGCTTCCTGCCTGACATCTTGAGTTGGCAGGAAATTGGCATGAACCAAAATCTCATAGCACTCTGCAGGTTACTTTCTAAGAAGAGGAAGACTTTGAAAGCTCTTGTCCTTTTATCTCATTCATTCTCTGTAGCCGTTAACTATACAAGACACCAAAGACAGACATGCACTGGAATCTATTGCCTTTCTGCATCTCCTGCAGACACCCCCTTTGCTTTTGCACTTCACCTCCAGCGTCATGGAGCAAATGATCTGATCAGCACACTGTGCCCTCCGCCTGCCTTTACTCTCGCTCTTTCCCACTCTTTTACTCTCACATGCTGAATCATTCCTCTGCCTTGAAATTGGCTTTGCACTAATGTGTACCTCTGCTGTATGTTTCTTCTCTAAGTGCCTGAAGATCTCAGTCCACCCTGTCCCTGCTGCTTCCTCTGTTCCTGGTAATCGTGAGGTTATTGAGGGAAAACATTCCATATTACTATTGTTGTTATTATTATTATTATTATTATTATTTTTATTTTTATTTTTATTTTTTAAGATGAATTGTGTTTGTATTGTGAAATGTTGAAAACAAGGGATCACTGTTATTTGTAGAATAGTAATTTAGCACTGCTGCTGTTTAGTTGATGTATGTACACAGTGGACCTTCCTTTTGTTGACAGTCACAAGTGAAATTGTCTTGTAGCCTTTTATATTGCTACGTTGCCTCCTGTTGAGTCGTACTTCTACTATATAGCCTTTCTGCTATGCACACATTCTGTTTAGTTGTTACACATATATAAATGCATATATGGACCTCTAAAGCCTTGATATCTTTATGTGTTGTGTATTATATACTGTATGTCTGTGAACATGCTTGACTTTTTGCCTTGTTGCCATTTTCTCCCTCAGGTTTGTAAAAATTTGTTTTACTGCACAGACTGTATCCTCTATGCAAGGAGTAAAATGGCTTGCCCTTTATAATGAAGTAATGCTAAGTTCAGTGTTTTCTCTTCAGTTGATCTTAGTTTAGCCTCACAAAACCAGTCCACAGAGTTCGCTTCACTCCAAATAAAAACTGAGCATGTAAGATTTAGGCTTGCTTCTGCGAGGCTGAACTTGGTTTAGGAGAGGCTTATAACCGTGCCTTTGCCCCCAGGGAGCCCTATGCAAAACGGTTTTCAGTTTATTACTGAGTAAACCATTTATTTTGAATCCCCTCTCTTTGCTGTATCTGGAGGTCTCTTGATACTGTAAGTTTTACTGATGTGGATTTGTAAGCTTGTAGCAGAGGGAGAGGTGGATTTTCTGTTATTTTATATCCATGCGTTTGCTTTTGTGCAGTCCAGAGGTGTTGAAAAGAGTATATGAAATAAATGTAATTTTATCATTGTCTGTGTGACGTTCATCCCCACTCATTTATTCACCCACAGTGGGCGACTGTGGCTCAGAGGCAGAGCCTTAATTGGAAGGTTGTTGGTTCGATCCCCGGCTCCTGGTGCCACAAGTCGAAGTATCCTTGAGCAAGATACTGAACCCCAATTGCTCCCGATGCCATGCATCAGGTATGTGAGTGTGTATGAATGTTAGTTTGAGTGAATGTGTGTGAAAGGGTGAATGTGGGTAGTGTAAAAGCGATTTGAGTGGTCGGGAGACTAGAAAGGCGCTATACAAGTACAGGTCCATTTACCATTTCAGAGTAATTAAGTACATTCATGCAAGTACTGTATTTTCTAATTTGAGGTACTTGTTTTTCCATATTCTGCTACTTTATTCTTCTTCACAATTCAGAGGGAGATATTGTACTTTTTACTGCGCTTTGCACATTCATAATATACAACTTTATTGATCCCTTTTTGGAAACCAAAATATAAATGAATTAAAATGAACCCCACCTTTACCAGCTGCAACAATAAAGTGATATACACATTTATGCACCAATAAAAAAAATCCAATTGTACATTATATATTCTCAAATGGGACATTCTGCGACCATAACGACTACTATAATTTTAGGTATTTAAAGTATATTTAGATTCTAATATTTTACCTGACTACAGCTACACCCCATTCAACATTGCATTTTCTACACCAATGTATTTTAGGTAGGTACAGAGTATGTCAAATTGGCTCCCTCTTGCTGAAACTACATTCAAATGATGCCTATCCAGTTGGTTAATAGTACAGTAGTTTAATATTATAATAGAATAATAGTGGGGCATTTTTGAGGTGAGATGTTGCTACTTATTATACTACTCTTTTATATTGAGGTTAATAGCGATATATTGGAATAAATACAGTATTTAATGATTGGCAGTCCTATTTTGCACAAGTGTATTTTCATCATGTCAGAGTTAATAAATGTGCTGTAGTATTAGGAAGCGGCCATGCCATGAGTCCTCCAGGCCGGTAGGTGGAGCAGTGGCAGTGTGAGCGGTCGGATGTTGACAGGCCTGCTGTCGGGCTTTGCTGTGGCTGTTGCCGCTATCACGTTTCCACAGTAGTCTCCACATCTTGCTGGAACTTTCCTGCTTCCCTAGAAACACATCCGCAGCGAACCCATGGCAACCGAACGGCAAGTGAAACCTCACATATTAATGAGATTGTATTATATTTAAAGACGTTTGTTTCTACGCTGCTGGTTAACGGTTGCTCTCTCCTTTCGCTTTAGCAACTTCCCCGATAGCTTCATTGACGAAGATCCACAGAAAGCTCTGGAGGTAAACATTAGCATTAGCTAGCCATAAACAAATGACATTAGCGTTTTTACCAAATATCTGCTGGCTCTTTCCGATTATCACGTTAACCTTAAGTTCCTCTGACAAGCGGTTGTGTAAAGGAAATTGCCTGTGGTGTCGGTGATGTGAATGTTTGTGATGTTAGCACTGTGTTTGTCCCTGTAACTACCTAGCCAAGTTAACTAACGTAGCTAACGTTTGCCTTTAGCACCACTTTGCGTGAAGAACAGGGCGTCATTATAACCTTAAGGAACAGTACCGTTTCTGAGTTAGCAGGGCGTGGATTTTATTAAAGTCTTCAGGAGATATTGAGGGTGACGGTAGTGGTAAACAAAAATATGTTAGGCTGTTAGCATGACTAGGGTAGTGTCTTCCTAAACAGTCTAGTCAATATCGAATCTTGTTTACTAGTTTTATTTGTTTGTCAACATTTTAAATACACTTTGCTTGTTCCTTTATGTGACTGTGACTGTCACTGCTACCATTGCAGTTCAGGTCAAACATACAGGACTCATTCATTCTGCTCAGAGCGACTCAGCACTTCTACACTTTATTTGCTAAAAAGATCCCACAATAAAAAAAAAAGCCTTTAAAAATAGTTGGTGGTAACACTGTAGCAAACAGAGGAGACAGACGTGTGCTCCATTATTGTTTGTTTAATGTTTCACATCATTTATCACCACTCTTTGAACCAGAACAGCATTGTAAGCTGGCCATTGAAATGCCATCTCTTTCCTTGTAGGCACTAAATGAGGCCTTGCAAGAAGACTCAGACAACGCTGAGTGGTTTTGCCAGCGTGCCTATGCCCACACACTTCTCAAAAACTACAGCTGTAAGTCTGCATACATGTGTTGAAAGACATGTTGGTAATAACACAATCTTTTTTTTATATATAATTATCTTCAAATTGTGTTGAAAATTATGTTAATGTTTTTTGGTAGCTGCCCACAGTATATGAATATAATTCTGCATTGTGTCTCAAACACGTGAGTAGCTGCTGTGGTCCAGAATGCAGAACAGAATGAGACCCTTGAATTAATAATCTGGTACCAGTTGGAAATCACTGCAGGAAATTTGGGTAGCATGAATATTCATTTTCTAAGTGATACAGGCTGGATGAATGTTTATGATAAACATATAGTTTATACATATTGTCTTCTGTCCTCAGGTGCCGTTGATGATGCCAAAAAAGCACAGCAGATACAACCCAGCCTTCCCCTTGCTTTCGTGCGAACAGGGTGTGTACTGTAATATGATGAAGACAACGGGAAATCACACACACATAGGTGTTTGGTGTATGCACTGTTGATGGAAGCATTGATTCTGTGTTGTTTGTCAAAAGCTGGAATATAAAGTTGACTGGTAAAACATGAGCTAAGAAAGTAGCACACATTATTAGTTACATATTGACTGATACATTTCAACCCACGTTGTGCGGAGCTTTGTATGGGAAGTGCTGCTTTTCTTTCCAGCCAGCCATAAAGTTTATGTACAAGAATTGCTTTAGTCGTTTAACTTCTCTAACAAGGTGTGTGATCCAGATATTGTGTGTCAGAGGAGGTCACTTTTAGTTTATTTAGATGATCAATTATAAGTGTATGTGTCATGTTTTTCTCTCCCAACTGCAGGCTAGCAGAATACCACCTTAAACACTATGAGTCAGCACATGCAGCTTTCACTCAGGGACACCAACTGGATGGTGAGTACATCTTACTTTGGCCTCCAGTACAAACTTTCCATCATCCCACTCTCTACCAACCACTGTTCGCAGCAGCAACCTGTCTGCTTCACTCTCCTCATGGAAGATAAAGTTCTGAACCTTAGCTTTAGGGATAAAATATGCAAGGCAACTTAATTTGTATCGCACATTTCATACAGGGTAGCAATTCAAAGTGCTTAACATAATGAAGTTTAAAAGACACAGAAAACCCCAAAAGGTTGAAACACAGAAGTAAAAAAAAAGTGCAGAGTGCAGTTTCAATTAAAGGCAGTAATGAACATTTGGTGCAAATCTAAAGTATGAATTCCTAATGTGTAAATATTATTTATAGTTTACCCCATGGCCTTGTGTATGATAGTTTACCCCATGGCCTTGTGTATGATAGGTCACCTCAAACATAGTTCTTGCCAGCAAGCGTTGCATTAATGTAATATTTAAATTAGCCTGCTGACTCTTTTCTTAAGTAATTGATTAATCATTTGAAAATACCAGAAATGGTAAAACATTTACCGTCTAAAAAGCCCAAGATGACATCTCTAAATATCTTGTTTTATCTGTGTAACAGTCCAAACCCAAACCAGGACCAGCATTTTCTTTGGAGTAATTATTATGGATGCGTGATATGGATTTTTTTCCCGCCGATACAATTATCAGTAACTACCTCCTCTTCATTTTAAGATAACCGATAATTTCACCTTTTTGTATTTTAAAAAAGTTCATAACCTGTAGTTTCAACACACTTAATGGCAAGAAATGCTGAGATTTAGTGAGCAAAGATACATGATTTAATATTCTATAACTTAGCTCTAAACCCATCTGACCTGATGACATCACTTTTGCTAACAGAGTAGCAACAAATAAGAGCTCTGACTCTTCAAATGTTTAGTTTTCTAGTAAAGTTCATTAAACATAGTTTAGCTCTCATAGAACATAAAGGCTGTCAATCGTTTTGCATAAGAATTCAAAATAAATTATTATTATGGCCTGATAATTTATCGGCTATAATGTAATTATCCCGGTAATTCAGAATAATTTTAATTTCCCATCAGAGGATAATTTATCTGCCCCAATACTTATTGTGCCTCCCGAGTAATTATTGTGGTTTGGTCTTGAAAAAACATAATTTATACATACAACATACAGTCTATAAAATGTATTAACAATAAATGGACAATGGAAACATTGTAAATATTTTTGAGGATACATTATTAAACTTGCTTTTTTCTGTTTTTTCATTGCATCAGATCCTGTAGCAAGGGTGAATAAGTGGCTTTGGATGTTTTTTTTGGTTTTCAGTTAAGTAATATCAGTCTACATGCTAATGATGTTGCAAAAGAGCAGTTGTTTATTTTGGGCTTTAGGACCAAAAATAGCCAGGATTGGGTTTGGCTCAAGGGAATCCTCCAAGATGTCTGATTAAGGATTAAAAGATTTTAACCCAGAAACTACAAGTGCTAGTCGAGCTCACACAAACGGGTGAAGCCAGTGTCTGTCCACATAATTCACAACTGTAACCATTGTCAACCAAGACTGACGCTATTACCACCACTTCAATATACATATCAGCTGTGACCAAAATCTCATTCATTGCTTTACTGCAGAGCTACAGTTTCTCCAGTGCTGTTGAAACAAACAGCTTGGGAGAAACTGAAGGTCACCCAGAACTTGTATAACAACACATGGATTCTCACTTCATCATATTTGTGTGTTTTTATTCTATGTCTATGTGTAAGTGACCTAGAAACTTGCACTACTTTTGTGATAATTAAAGCAACTTTGCTAGTGAAAAGATGACTGGTGCTGGCCAGCATCTCTATCATCAAAGCATGGATCCATTTTAATGGATTTATTTATATAGACATATGTTATTAAACAACAACCTGTTGAAAAATGTCTTTAAAAATACGGTTCTATTGACAACTGAATAAGAGCCCGAGGGGTCAGAACTAAATAAGTGCGATGGTGGAAAAAGATGAAAAAATGGGATCAGGGTCAAAAAACCATAAGGGCTATGTTTTTCAAAAGAGCTGTGAATGAGTTTTAAAAGTTAAAAGAATTTTGCTGCTGATATAATGCTGCACAGTATTGTATTTGACACTGATGAATGCCTATTTTCCTCCAAGTAACTTCTGCTTTGGAAACAAACCTATTAAAGTAATGCTTTTAACCTTGTCCTGCACTTAGTCAGACCACTTTAGACTTCATGAACACCTCACTGATGCCCTAAAATGTTTTCATTAAATTCTCTAATTGAGTCTTTTTTTATTAGAATGTATTACCTTGTAACAAACTAAGACTGCAAATATCTGTTCTTTGTTGTGGTTTCCACAGTTTCGGACAAATCATTTGAGATCTGGATAAAGCGGTGTGAGGAGATGATGGGAGGTAAGTAGCTGAAGTGAGACTTTGGTCATCTCAGTATTTTTTGTAAGGTTAGACCAGTATTAGAGCTGATATTGGTCCTAACCTGTCTTTTTTATTTAATTGCAAATAGTTTGTTTTAATGTATTTAAGATATTGAATGATATCAAATATTAGTGCACAATATTGCCTGTGCCGGTTCCTCTCCAACTTCTCTATACTGTATATTTCCAATACTCCCCGCTATAGGGAGTATTGGAAGCTATTGAAGCTAAATGGGACGGTCAGAGAGCTGATCAGCTCATCTGATCAAACAAATGAGCTTGCACACATCCATGAATCTACAGTATGTGTTCACAGTGTTCAGGCAGAGCTGCTCAGTCCAATAAAAGATGCATGCCATGTCTGGGTGGTGTGTTTCTGTTTTCTGGTGATGCCTGGGCCCTCTGGATCATCTCAAGTAAATAAGAGCATGAGTTTTGACAAACACGCTTCACACCCGCATGCACACGTACTCCCAGGAGCGGTATGATTCATCAGAGTTAACGTTACTGATGTTTGAAAGCCCCCGATGAGACCCAACCCCTTCATAGGCCCGCTCACAGACAGCAAGCACGCACACAAACACACAAACAAATGCACACCAGGGTGTACATCACCCCGCCCCCTCTCCCTCTCGCTCTCTTAAACTTGAAAGTACCCTACTTGTGCTCGCTCACGCTCACACCAGGAGCAGTTGTTGTGTCTTCTGGTGACAGTGTGTTTACCACCAACCAACACACACGGCACCTGGTTATTCCATCACATGTGGCACCCTGCTTGTTTAAAAATACACAGACACACACACAGTCTTTTTCCCCCCAAACATCCCCCCTCCTCACCATTTCAAACGCGACCTCATTAAGGCAACATTAACACGCCTCCTATCATGTCATCTCTCTTTTCCCTCTCTGTGCTCTCTCTGTGCTCTCTCTTTTCCCTCTCTGTGCTCTCTCTCTCTCTCTCTCTGTCTCTCTCTCTCTCTCTCTATCTCTATCTCTATCTCTCTCTCTCTCTCTCTCTCTCTCTCTCTCTCTCTCTCTCTCTCTCTCTCTGAATAATGTATGATAGCATGCTGGTAAACGGTGATCAGGCTTGCTTGGGCTCACAGGGCTTTTAATGGGCGTGGATCGACCAGTAAACAAACTGGTGGAAAGGATGGGAAAGTGTGTGTGTGTCCTGTCTTTGTGGGCGCATAACCATTTGCAATCTGCGGACACGTGTGTTTGTGACAGTTGAAAATTGTGTTCTTATAGCTTCATCATATTTTAGAGTTTGATTTAGCTTAAAGGGTGTATTAAATGTTTCCTGCCACACACCCAAAAATGTCTTCTCTCTTTCCAGAGCAGACACAGATCGGCAGCGGCAACACGGGTGAGTTTCTGTGCACGGCCACCTGGGGGCATTGTTGCTCTCAGCATCAGCAGAGAGCATCAGCCTCCTGTATGTTCCTGCCTCAAAGAAGTGTCTTTTGTTGTTATGTTTTCTTCTTATTTTGTCCTTTTTGTTTCATCCGTCTGCCTCATAACCACATCGTCCTCTCTAATTGTCGTTCCGTCTCGGGGACTGAATGACCCAGCAGACACCGGCGGTTCCGCCAGTGAAGTAAGTGCATAAATGTAAATAGGCTTTATCTAGACATCTGTTTTATGTTAGTAATGTTTATTTTATTTATTATACCAGCATAATGATTAACCAAGCCTTACTGCATTAAAGCAGCCCTATTCTGTATAACTGGGTGAATACAATGCACAAAGACGATACATGTTAATGATGAGCTGCTTTTTATAATTTCAAGTTCTTGGTTTCATGAAGTTTTATCACATTCTGGGTAGAAAGAGAAACAATATTTGGGCTTCTAAATCAGCTTTGCCTGTGTGTTTCTTGCAGATATGACTGGTACCAAACAGAATCTCAAGTCATTGTCACAGTCATGGCAAAAAATGTACCCAAGGATGGTGTATGTGTCAACTTCATGGAAAAAGAGGTATAAACACACACTTAAATGCAGTATTGAAGTGAAGAGAGTGTGTTTTCTCTGTATATGTGTATATATATATATGTGTGTGTGTGTGTGTGTGTGTGTGTGTGTAGCAGAGATGGGTTAGCTCTTGGGTGTTTCCTCAAGGGGGCCCATTAGATGGGTCTCATACACACATACACAGTCACACACACACAGACGCACACACAGTCTCCCCATGGACCCAACTATGCCTCCAGTGGTGCCTTGTTAACATTGCTCCCAAAGTACGGATCTAAGAACAATTTACCCTCCCCAGCTTCTCCAACCTCCTAATTGTCTGTAGATAGAAGGCATAACTGATCTAGGATCAGCTGCAGAGCCCTCAAGGGACAACCTCTTTCTTTCTCTTTTTCTCTTTTCCTTTGTCTCTTTCCACTTCTCTCTCCTTCTCTCAGAGGGGTAACTGCAGGGCACTCTAGGGAACGGCTTTGTCTTTCCTAATAGAATAACAAACTGAGTTTACCCCATTTCAAAAGAAATAGTTCACTCGCTCCGAATCACACAGTCACTTGTTAAGCTCCCTCTGTGGTGTGAAGTACAGATAAGTTCATATATTTTTTACTAGGTCAGTATATACAAAAGAAATTAAAGATGAAAGGCAGTGGTTCCAGTTATTTTCCCTGGTGAGTATGCAGCAGCTGTATACCTACAGACAGTGCAGGAATCCAACTGGAAATGAATATTAAGGCTTTGATAGTTTTTTGGAATTGCCCAAAAGCTACTTTAGCTAACTTTCTAAGCTTTTATCCCAGATGAACTACTTCTAACATACATTTGGTCCCAAATCAGAAAAGTCCACTTTTAGTAAAATGGTAGGTGGTGAATTGCAAACGATTGCTAGTTGAAGTGATGTACGGTACAGGCGAGTTATTCTTCAAGTGGGCAGTTTTTAGCACTTTACTCCGCGAGCGCAGCATTTGCCAAGTGATGAGTGTGTAAGGAGTGTGAGGATTTGGGCCACAGCCGAGGCCTTGCTCCTCTAAACCAACAAGCCACCCACCCAGTTCCACTGAGTGACAGGCTGTTAGGAGCTGTCCGACCCCCCCCAATCACTGGTCACTTGGTGGCTGAAGGGGACAGGGCGAGGATACTCCTGGCCGTCTGACCAGCCACATCGGATGATTATTCTCATGGACAAGCTGACACCTTCACCCCCCTCATTCCTTATCTTTCTTTTGTTTTGTGTGTTTGCTGCAGATTGCACTTACATTAAATGGAAAATATTGAGGCATTGTAATGGAATAAGAATAATAAAAATATTGCATACATTCCCTAGTTGTTTACTGTCAGACTTAATGGCCACCATTGACGAGTAATGCTTAATGTCTGCTGTCTGTGTTCTCTTCAGCTCTCTGCCACGATACAGCTGGCATCAGGGGAGAACTACAACCTCAACCTCCACCTCCTGCACCCCATCGTCCCCCAACAGAGCAACTTCAAGATCCTCACCACCAAGGTATCAAAGTCACTTTTAGTTTAACTGGTGCAGTTAGTGTAATGTTGAAACTTCTAAACCTACTGGAAGTCCTCTATCGCTATGCATATTTTACATTCTGGTTCACATTTGTGATGATTTGACATGTTTTTGACAGCTTTAACAGACATCTTACTGTGACAGGTGACATGCACATGAAGCAGAAACAAACTGTGTGTGTCAGACCTGCATGCTTTCAACACCAGTTGTGTTAAATGGTCCATTGTGAACTAAAAGGCACATCAAAGCATAGTGATGGGCATTCTCTAATGTTGAAAAAAAAAAAAAAACTGTTGGCTTTTGTCTTTCTGGTGTCTCAAAGTGACCACGACTGACCAATAACTCAATAACTTTAGATGATACAATGAGCTGGTCATTTCTGAGTTTCAGAGGTGTACTCTTGTCAAGGGAAAGTCAGGAAATATGACACTTCCTCCGTTTCCACATGAAATAACAAGGAATTTAACAAACAAATAATTTTACACATTATACAGTATTACTCTGTTCACACATACAGATACAGTAGTGTAAGCATTCAAGGTTATTAAATTGTTATTAGACGGTGGTCTTCAATGTTTTTCTCAACAGCAAGCCCAGCTGTAGTGAAAAATAAAACTGTTTACCACTTTACAACTTGAGCTGAAAAACATAAACAAGGAAGATTTTTTTAGGTCACAGAAACACTCCAAATAAGTTTTTGAAAGTCAATGAAAAGTCATTGAATTTTACACAGACTCAGTGAGAACATTATATGTAGCCTTGCCGTTCTAGTAGTTACTCTCAACAATAAAGAAGCAGACTATTAAACATGTCAGGGAACATTTTATATGTCACTGTAAAGAAAATATGATGTAGTAATGTCACACTGGAGAAATGCGGACTCTCCTCTGACTGTGCTTCATATCTTTGAATTGCAGTTTAGCCAGAGAGCATCAAGTGACATGATGGTTTCTCTGTGAAATAATTTTTCTTTGTCAAAAACGTTAATGAATTACAAATGATTTATATGATAACAAAAAGATAATGGGAAAAAAGCAAATCACACTGATGCGAGTTTTAAGCAGCTCAGTGAAATAGTGACTGATCATTATTACTTGGGTTACCAATCTGAGATTAACACTATAATCTCCTCAATAATTTAAAGCAGTGTAAAGTAGGCTGTCACTACCTATAATTCCTTAATGCTGGTAAAGCTCACTGTGGCTGGAGTAGAAATGAGAAAATCCACTCTCTCTGTATACAGTGCGGCTCCCGTGGAGACGATAGCGCAGTTCATCTGAGCAGCTAACAGGAGATTCATCACGCATATGCACAAATCCTCACTCCTACACACACACACACACACACATTTATTAGGACTCACTGAGAGTTCCTCAGCACTGTTTAAGGTGATTATGGGCCTAATGAGTAGGAAGGGCTCTTTTTACTATAGACTCTAATTAGTGTGTATTCTACAGCATGTGGGCTAATGAGTGTGCTGGCTGAGTGTGTGCTGATTCAGGCTTTAGACCACTGTCAGGTTTTAGCCTCAGGATCAGGAGGGAAGTTTTTGTGTGAGTTGTTTTGATTGGTTTTTTTTTAATCGTTAAGGAGGAGGAATTTGTTTTGTAGGACATTGATCAATACGGTCTTGTCGATACAGAACAACATGAAGCTCTGCTTTCTTCCTTGAGATCTTGTGTGTACTTGAAAACTTCTATTGTGATGTTGGTGGTGATCTTTCCACAGTGTTTGAACTCAGCATCTTCCCAAGCATCTTTAGTTGTATCCTGGTATAAATGGCAACTCAACATAAACTCATTATATTTTATAGGTTGTAAAAGGGTAGTTGTCATGTTGACTACTTATTGTCGTCTCACACAGTTGGTCGACACATTGCTAATACTTGCATACAGTATTAGGGGTGCATAATGAACACTTTTTTGGTACCAACCAAGTACTATTGAATGTCAGTGCAATATTCAGTTTTTTGTTGGATTCTTTCTGACTCAAATCTGATATTTTGATAATATTAGGCTGGATTTACTCAGTAAATTTATACACATATTTAACTCCTTATTTACTAAGGCAGCAGCTCATTATGCATTCAGTTCCAGGATTGATCCTGGAAGTGCCCCCTAGATGCAGTTCAGCCCTCGGACATCTATGAATAGGTCTAGAAAATAAATTAGCATGAAGTGATCTTGACTCCACTTACTCAAAGTTAGTTAAACTCCACATGAAAAAAGTTTATTACTCATAAAATAATAGTATAGCAATTATCTCCTAATGATCCAATAGGAGACAGACGACCTTTATGGAAATTAAAAAGAGTTGTAATAAGGCACACAAAATATACACAAGCTACCTACATCAAGTTGAAGGAAGATGATATTAATATATCTGACGCTTCACTAGAATATTGTGGTAAATATCTTACCAAAAGACAGAACAGTGCGGTCTGTAGTGATTTTAAACAGCTGCAAAAGCCTGAGTGAATCAGGCCGCTGCAAAAATATTGTAAAACAAAAATACAATATTATTGACATTGTTGAACAATGACTTTTAACCATATTTGACATTTAATCTGCAATAACTGATTTTTTTGGCCACTTTAGGGAAGCGGGAACCAATTGTAAATACATTAACATATCACCAAGTGGATGTGGCGAACTTGTTAGCAAACAGTTGCTCATCTACATATTCAGCAGTCTCTGAGCAACATTATCCTTAATTTGGTCTTGTGTTTCTGTCCATGTGATGAATGAAAGTCCAATATTCACTTTCTTTTAGCTGTTTCTCGTCTCTACCAACTCCTGAGGGAAACATCTGACTCTTTAGTTGCTAAGTGCTCCACTAAGTGAAGTCTGTTTTCTACTGAGCAGGTATTGTACAGTGGGTGTTTAGAGGTTTTTACTGATGGCTGCTTTTGTATTGTAGTATGGGTATTAAAGCTCACGAATCGTATTAGCACCAATATCAAAACATTTCAAACAACATCCAGTCCTAATTATGTTTATATTGTATCTTATTTGTGTAACACCGATGAACATTCAAACAAAAAACATGGGTTTACATTAAGTGCCTTAAAAGAGATGCTATGGTAGTAACATTGAAAATCCCCAAACAAGCCAAGCCACAAAGCTTCTTAAAGCAATGATGATATTTATTTAATATTATTTCACAGCAAGGCCACAGGGGAATTTAAAAGGGCAGTGCATGACTACAGGTGCTGGAATTACACCCTGTACGGAGCCACAGTAGCAAAACGATGGTGGGAAATTTAATTAGTAGCATTATATAACCTGACGTCTATATTGTGTGCAGTATATCTACTGGCTATACAGTGCCGTGTGGAGGCTGACCTGCACTGAAACTGCCCCCTCTCAAAAAAAAAGCACTCACTCACTTTCTCACTTTTCCATGGCAACAGCAGGCGCCGCATACCAGAGGTGCACGTGGGTTGCAGCTTAAACAAGGACTCAGTCTTAGAGAGACCACAGCTGAAGATGGTCTCTCTCTCATCTCTCTACAGTCTTTTTTTTTTTTTCCTCTTTCTTCTTCATTTACCTTATTTGTCTTTGCTTTGTCAATCTCTCCATAGCCCTTCACACACACATACACACACTCACACCTTCTGTCTTGCGCTCATAAAAAACCACACACCTACCTCTAAGATAACAAGAGAGAGTGTACAAGCCCGCCTCCTCTCCCACAAAGCCCTGACTGTTCCCTGGTCCACTGGGCTCCTCTGGCACACATGGCCACACACACACACACACACACACACACACACACACAGCCCATCAAGCTCATAAGTCCTCATTGGTAACTGCAGCATTCAAAGGTTCAAGAGTGCATAAAGCACCTAACTCCTCTAAAACTCTACAGGTGAAATGTGTGCGCACACGTGCACAACAATGTGAGAGCACCCAACAAACTGAGCAGTTTTTTTCAATGCGTCTCATTTAAATATTTTTGAGCTGTTTCATTTTTCTGAAGCCAAGGAGCCACTGGGGGGAAAAAAAATTCAAATGAACAACAGCATCAGCAAATCAAGTTTCTCCAGATTGGCATGCATCCCTAATGAGCGTTTAAAAAAAAAATGCATTGCCCTCGGAGCTGTTGATTCCCAACCAATGTCGGTCTGTCTGTCTCTGTAATAGGCTGCCCTGCACTCTTCGCTCCACAATGTTTACGCTTCATCTCCTCGCTGTCTTTAAAGACAACTTAGCAGGGGGAGGCTAAGCCAGGCGTGAGTGTGCAAGCGCACACACACACATACGCATACAAATACTGAGGCTGAACAGTAATCTTTCAACACACTTGTGCCATTTACACAAAGTATTTGCTGTGTGTGTGTGTGTGTGTCGTCTGTAGCACATTATCGTCAGTGCGACCTCTTCCTGTCCTCCACCACGACAGACATTCCAACCGCAGGGGTCACCGCGACAACGGGGAGCCAATTACACACCAGTGTGTTTGATCAGAACAGACGGCTGACACACACACACTCATATGCGGGCACGCAAACACACTCAGTGCAATTTCAAATCCGCACATGCTCGTTCATTCAGTTCCAAACTCATCTCTTTTTGGAAAATAGCTAAAGTGGCGTCTCCGCTCTTTAATTTGCATGCCTGTCAACGTCTAAGAATGTTTATATTTATTTCATTTATGCGTCTTTCTAGCCGAGTTTGTTTTGAAATCTGCTGGGATCTGGAGAAAGAGGGAGAAGATGTTTGGTGAGGAGTTGTGGCAGGGAGGGAGAGAAGGAAGAGGGGGAGCGATGGTTACAAACACATGTGACAAGCAACACAGGACCCCAGTGCCCCTCTGTAAATAGCATGTGTGTGTGTGTAATGCAGTATTGTATAGTCCAGCCCCTGGGGTCCTGTGGGTGGTGGCCCCTGTATGTGGCTCTGCTGTCACATCCCTTTACGAGCCATTGCTTCGCCTGTCACACACACAGAAACGCACATGGAGACACACACGCACACACACGGCGCCTGGCCTGCCATATCCCTTAAAAGCCAGGAAACACAGATGTGGCAGCAGATTAATGTTGTATGGCCCAGGAACACGCATAGAAGAACACACACTTTGACACACACAGCGCGGCAGCTCAAGCTCGGCTGCACTTCACATTACAGAAACATTAAAGACAATTAATGGCACCTGCAACTCTGGCTAATCATTTTAAGATGGTTTGGTCCTTTACTTTTCTTCTTAGACTTCCGCCTTACAATTTCTGTAATCAATAACAATTCAGTTTAAAACATAACAGTCAGACTGGCTGTTGAGTTGCTGCCTTGTTAGAACTGAGAACTTCAAATCTACTGGCTAGATAGCGGGACTAAGATTTATTTTTGAGTTAATATCAGAATATGCAACTATTCACCCACAGGGGTAAACAAAAAAGTTAAACACATAATAAAAAAGACGGAAGATCTAAAGAAATCTAACATAACTTAATCAGAATTACAAGCACTGCTACAAAGGCTGTATTAGTTTGAACGCCAATTAGCAGTATTTGTCAGCCATTAGAGCAGGTCTGGGAAATCAGCATTTTGATACGTACTGAAGTCTTCAAAGCCTCATGAGACCCCTGACAGAGCTCAAAGGAGAATCTGAGCCCAGATTGCAGGTGCATCTGTCTAAAAAAAAAAATAATAATAATAATAATTTAATATGCCAAAAGGAGCTGTCTCAAAAATCGATTGAAATCCCTTTATCAAACACAGTCACGACTGACGGAGTTGAATAAGTTAACATAGGAACACTGCATCTGATGTATCCTGGATAATTTAATAATACTATATGTTTGTTATGGGTTTTTATTATTTATACATTATTTTGTTTTCCGTCAGTTTGCGATGAATGTGTGAATCAGAGCTGTAGCAAATTTGCACAGGCCTCTGTGGTTGAATTTTCCCTACGGGGATCAATAAAGGAACGTCTTATCTTAAACCTTATATCTCTGTCAGCATCGTGGTCAGCTATGATCTGTCGTAATGCAAACTAACGTGGAGCATCTCATAAACACTGACCACCTGCATGCTATGATCCTCAGACATTTCATCATGAACCTGTATCAGTAACAAGGAGGGAAAAAATGGGGTTAACTGTGTCAATACTAGACCTACTGGTAAATTATATGTTTGTGAGCAAGTGCTGTCCTGAAAAGTCCTGGAAAATGTTGCGGAAAACTATTTCTCAAAAAGAGTGGGAACCATGTCTCTCCCCCTTTCCTGTCTTTATTGCGATGTCCTATCAATAAAGGCAAAAAATAAACTTTAAAAAAAGAGCTGTTCCAAACGGGCAGATATGAAGGCAGGTTGAAATGCCAGCCATCATAAAGAAGAGCAAGGTGCAATGAATTATTTAAATATGGGTCTAACAATGCAGATTCTCATTTTCTCCTGGATGGCATTCATAATGTTGAACTCAGGAAAAGGGACAAAAAAAACTTGAGAAAAGTTTAAAACCTAGCTAATCACGGTGCGCAGTGGCACTCGATGTCAGATTGTTATTTCCGGAAAAGTCACCAAAATTGTCGGGCAAGGCCCCCAATTCTGATGTCCCACAGAAAACCCACAGAATCAGATCGTGTGCTCCACAAACTTGTAAAAAGTTAGGCGACACATTCTCTTGAAGGATGAGTGTGAATTATTTGGGCAGTAACCTGTATTCTCAGTAGACATCTTCCTTTTTTAGCCTCCCAGCCCCTCGCTTGCGAGCCAAAAAGTTAATTTCGGACACTGCACAGATGCCTCAACGTACCACGAGGCCCTTTGTGGGGCAGAAAGCGCTGACACATACCAAAGCAATCTATCAGTGTACCGCCGCTCGCACCAGCTCATCACCTCTGCGAAGAAGGTAGCAGCGATCATACTGTCTTATTTCCCTCAATCTGCTCCCCTCACTCACACGTTGCTCAGTGCGAGTCAGCCTCTCTGCCTCCTCATCTCTAACCCTGTCTACTTCTTGGTTCCCTCTCCTCCTCTGGCACCCTCATAAATGAATCATCACATCGCCCAGCAGAGCAGAAATGTTCCTTAATTGCACCAACATAACCAGCGCTGTCTTTCACGTGCACACATATCAAACACATGCACAGTTAATGGGTGGTAGGGGGGTTTGTGGGGGGTGTTAACTGCAGCTTGCGTGTCTCGCTGGTATGTGCCCTGTCAATGCAGCTCAGTGTTAAAAGCGTGTGTCCATGTCCTCTCTCCCCTCATTGTTTTCCTCCTCTCCCATGTTCTCCTGGTGTAATGATTTGGATCAGATGCTGCTGTGTGGAATTAGGATCTCCCCCTCCTCTACCTCCTCCCCCTCTCCCTCCCTCCCGCCTGCTCCGTCTCTCACACTGGCCCTCTGGCTGACAGGCATCTCGTTAGTGCAGTATGTCTGTCAGTGAGGTTCGAGATTGAGCTGTGCCCCCGCATATCCCTGATGTCTCTCTCAAACGCACACACACACACACACACACACACACACACTCTCTCTCATTGGCTGAGTTGACGACGGCTCAGAACAGACAGTCTCTCTGGCCTCAGTAATGATCTGATGTCCTGTACTTTTAAGATGTCACTCTAATGGAAGCGTTATTTTTGTCCCGCGCACCAAAGAAAGCCATTTTGCTAAACATTGTTATCTGCCTTGTTCCCTCTTCTTCTCTTCCCCCCCACTGCCTCCTTATCGCCCTTCTCTTCTGTCAGGTGGAGTTCAAGATGAAGAAGACAGATGCCATCAGATGGGAGAAGCTGGAGGGAGAAGGACAGGAGTCCAACATCAAACACTTCGATCCTAGTCAGTCCACACAGCTTCTGCATTTACACTCCTTTCCCCCAACCATCCTTCTGTCTCTGCTCTCATCTCTCCGTCTCTCCCTCACCCTCGTCTCTCGCTCTCTCTCTCTCTCTGTGCAAAGATCAATATAAGCTCCTGTGTTTGTCTGTTCTGCACTAAAATGAGAGTGGGCAGTCAAGCCCTGCTAGAGTCTTTCATTAGTCTGACGGTGAAAGTAGGCAGGGAAAGGGAAAGGTATGACAGCAAAATATGAGTCAGTATTTTAGCCCACACATTCCTATTACTGACAGGATTAATTACTTATGTAAGTGTGTTTGTGTGTGATGGGGGGAGTAAAAGTTAAGTGGGCAGCCAAAACCGCCCTTTCCATGCAACCAGCTCAGCCTCCAGGACACCCTGTTTATAAGTGCGTGCTTATAACTTGGACTACTGTTACATTTAAACATGATATTTGACATCTGATTTTATGGGATCACATTCCCTTACGTCCACACTTGGCCTGAATATGTCTACTGTGCGTCTGGGTGCTGTATTTATGTAAATCTGCGTCTGGATTACATTTCCCGCTCTCTCCTCTCCCATCTCTTGTTGGGATTATAGTGGGCGTATTTCATCCAGGAAATATAGAAATCAAATCACAATGTGGTCCTTCAGCGTCTGAGTTGGATGATTCATTTGCAAAGTGAGCAACATGAATAAGTCAGGGTTTCACAAAAGCACTAAAAATGTGTTGTATTTACTCAAACTATATGAACCTTTTTAACACCGTCTCCCTCCTCCATCAGATCAGTACCCGTCTTCGTCCCACTACACCTGCAAATGGGACAAGATGGTGGTGGACATCAGCGAGGAGGAGAAAAACGAGAAGCTGGAGGGAGACGCAGCGCTCAATAAGCTCTTCCAGCAGATCTACTGCGATGGCTCAGACGAGGTCAAGCGAGCTATGAACAAGTCCTTTGTAAGTGTTATGCTTGAGCGACATGAGTCTTTTTTTTCTTCTTCTAGAAATCACTTTAACCACAGTTCAATAGTAGCCAACAATATTTTCAGCAAGATTGAATTGTCAGGTATTGTTAGGAACTTCAGCACAACTTCAGCTTCTCATGAAATTACATTTAGGAATTAAATGAGTTTCATAATATTGGACAATCTGACTACAGGGTCATGCTAACTTTACACTCCACCGCCATTACATATATTCAGGAATCTCCAGCAAAACGTTGTCTTTGAGTCCAAACAAAGCAACACAGACGTATGATTTTTGAAGGAAATAAAGAAATTAGGTATTTTTTCTAACTGCACAGGGATCCACTCGGGCATCCAGCCTGCTATCCAGACTTGCTCTTTGGTTGGCCAACTTGCAAACTACCTATTCATCTTCACAAACATTTAATACTTACAGCCCTTTTGCTGCCTTTTTGCCTCCATTCTTTGTCTTTTCGCCTTCATTATAATGAGCCCGTCATCTGTGCACTCTGGTTCAAATACATACGGCCAACAATCAAAGCGCAGTGACTCACAATCCTCCTCGTGATAGTCCACTAGATAACCAGCCATTGCTCTTCGATTCTTTAAGTTTCCTCAGAAAATAATATTATAAACCAGCGTATATACAAACATTAATTGGGGACATTGAAGGAAAAAGTGAATGGAATACAACACATGCAGTGTGGACTGATGCAGCAGTAACAGATTGTCTAATTAATGAGCTTCTCTAAGTGCATTTATGTGTATAGAAGGATGTTTGTAAGAGTTTATGATTGTAGCAAAAATGTTGAATGATGGTCGGGGTGAATCAGCATTCTGTGTTATTAACAATCTGATCTCTTGATGCTGGAGTCACCTCCAACATACTACCTAAAGCTGATGCTGTTAAACATTCATGTCTAGTAGTCATTGCTGCATTTGAAGCAGAAGACCTTTAGGAGAATAAAGGTCGGCTTATATGGAAATCAGCATTTTGAATTCTTTGACTTTTTAGCTTATTATGAAATAAAAATTAACATTAGTTACTGGTCAAAAAAATCCACCATGTTCATTAGAACTGAAGAAGGACTCAACGGTGCTGCAGTGGACTTATCTAAGCTCTGAGCATTTTTAAGCAGAGAGAAGGTGTTGCATAACTACAGCACTAATGAAATGAAGGGATCATTCCACTGAAGTGATTTCTGTCTCTGTCTCTCCTCCCTGTGCAGATGGAGTCAGGTGGTACAGTCCTGAGCACCAACTGGAAAGATGTGGGCAAGAGAAAAGTGGAGATGAGCCCACCAGAAGACGTAGAATTCAAAAAGTACTGAGCCCCTCCCTCTCCCTTCCTCTAACTCCCTCTCTCTCCCCTGCATCTTTCTTCACGTTTGTCCATCTGAACTCCAGCGGGAGCCCTCGTTGCTCTGCCGTCTCCGTGGCCATCCCCTTCCTCCTCTTCCCAACCCCCTCAGTTGTGCTGTTGCTCCTGTGTGTTTTCACTAAGTGCAGGGAGCCTTAGTGTTCCCACTTTGGCTCGACCAAACCACTCATGGCCTACTCTCTGCAATAACTTGCTACTGGATGGGGGTCAGTTCATTTGAATAATCTGTTGAACGGATTGAGTTACATTATCTGATGTTTTTTTTGTTTTTGTGTTTTTTAAAGGCCCATGGACTCAAACGGGAACTAAGGTCTACCTTGAAATGTGACTGACAGACCTAAAATTCAACTTTCAGATCTGGTTTTAGAGCATCATTCTTGTTTTTTTTTCTCCTCTGCCTCTCTTGGTTTTCTCAAAATGCCCGCAGCCTGTCTATTTGGGAGCCTTTAATGACTTCCTATTATCTGCACTTGTATAAAAATGTAAAGTGGTTTAAAAAAAAAGTAAGAACCAATTGAGACATTTAAATAACAACTTTGATTGCATTTCTTGGCCCTAAGCAGTTTTTCTGTACACTCAGTAAAAAGTCAACAGCAATACTTGACTTGTCTGGAATCTGTGTGACATGTCAACCAGTGGCTTAGCACCAGTCACTCCCTCAGTGTGATTCAAGCTTCAGTGTAAATAAAAGATTTGTTGTTTGGCTCACAAACTTTGTCTTGTGTTATATGGTTTGGGAGCGGTTTTGGACAGGTTTGAAACTCTTGGGTAGGGATCCTTCAGATGCGAAAACAGCAATATATTACGACAAGGAGCCATGCTCTGTGATTATGTGCTGGGAGGAATGAAATGTGGCATTACTGATACGAGTGCAGGCAGTTTAGATACGGCTGACAGCTTCAGGGTATGGTTTACGTATCATGGTTCGATTGGTATCAAGACGGAGGGCCCAGAGTCATTTGGCCGGCGGGCGAGGACACAGCCCTGAGATGGAGTGGTGATTTATAGTTGGAGATGCGGGAGAGCGGGCACCACCCTTGTTCTCCAACCACATGTATGCAGCAGCTGTAACTGTGAGGAGGCGTCCTGCAGCGGCAAGAGAGCATTAATATGGATCAGCCTCCTAACCGCATCATCAAGCCTCTCACACTGAGTTAAGTGTTAAATTCATCACACATCGTTTCATCTCTCGTGACGATCAAACGCCCCGTTTGTGTCTCTGGATGGAACTCTTAGCTTCATAACACTCTCACACAAACACACACTCCTACACTATCCCTGACACGCACACAAACACACCGCCCCCATCCTTACCCCCTACCCCTGCCTGAGGCGGCTCTGTGACATCAAAAGGAGCTAAGCGCTTTGCATCGTGGGTAAGATCTGGGAGCGTGACGGCTACAGAGTCTTTAGTCTCATTAAAGAGTTCTAGAGCTGCAACTCTCAACATTAAAGAACTCTGGAAACTTCTTTCTGCTCATCACTTTGGAGCAGCTACCAAATGTGACACATCTTAAGACTGAAGAGAGAGGGCGGGCTGTTCCCAGATCAACCTAATGATAAGTTAGAAGCAATATGTATGTACAAATAGCATATAAAGTCAATCGGTCAATAAGGGGGCTGACACTTGAAAGTTTACTTTAAAAGTTTATTCAGAGATATTGCACTTTGAGATAGGTTCTTCAATGCAGATGAAAATGCATTTAGATGAAAGTTTGTGAGAGAATGCGTACAGTACATTGTTTTAATGAGAGCTACTCATGAAGACAAAATAGAAAAGGGAAAGAGTTACAAACACAGGAGTCAAAAAGATTTCTCACTAGAACAACAGCTTGACTGCCTTGGAATACTGTGCACCCTATACATTTATTTACATCAAAAAGCAAAGAATGAAAGCAAAGGAATGATTACCAGCTCTATAAACACAAGCTTACCTGCTTTTCCTATATATAAATGGGTCCAGTTAAACATATTTGAAATAAACGCAGATATCAATGCATTTAATTGAGAACAGGTCTGTTGAATGTTTGATATCACCATCATCTCTTTTCTCTTGACAGCATGTTGGGCTGTAGACCAGAAGAACCTGATAGCAGGTATGTTTTTTTAATAGGACAAGCTGTGCAGGGTGCAGCCACTGTTTACCTTTACATGTCAGATCATGTCTGTCCTAGATTCTGTACCATGCATTTATAATGTGTGGACACGCTGACTGACACTGTTCATTTCCTACCAATCTGCTCAAACTAACCGGTAACTACAGTAGATGACGATAAGAAGCCACCATCTCCCTTTGCTAAACTTTTCCCTTCATCTCCCCTCCCTTGGAACCCCCATCCCTCCCTAGTTTCTTCCCTCTCGGACTCTACCATCTCCCAAGTGGGCAGAGGGGGGGCTGTCTACACCAGACCCAAAATGCGTGCCACCCACCAGTTGCACGGCATGATAACTCTGCAGACCACCCTGCAGCCTCTGTAGTGGTACGGCCACGGGTGGTACCCTCCCAGCGGCTCACAGATCCTCTGGCAGTGGGTGTGGCTGCGACGGCACTCTGTGCAGCACACTCCCTGGTGGTCCAGCATGGGGTCGTGGGTCATGGTTCCCTGCTCACCCTCAAGACCCCTCTGAGAGGAGACAGAGAGGACAGTGGTCAGTGTGTGCACATTCTGCCGTCTGATACTGTGCGTCTTTAGCCACGGAGAGGAGAGCTCGTTTCAAACCAATTAAAAATGGATTTCCGACAGGCGGGATGGGGAGGAGGGGATGTTGTCAGATGTGGGTTTTTGTTGTCAAATATTTTCTCCTTCAACGTAGTGCTTGCTGTTTGCCCCCTTCTGGGGTTGTCAGGAGTGTGTAGCGGGGGGTTGGGGATGCTTAGAGCAGGAAGGGAGGGGGATTAGGAAAAAGCGGGGCCCAACGTTAGGGGTGAGGATGGAGGGCACAGGGGTGTGTGTATGTATGGGGGTCTGTGTGTACTCAGCAGGGCAAGGGTGCGGGGGGGGTTGTGGAATTATTCATACAGCCTCAATGCTGAAAGGAAAGATTTGGACAGGCTCAGACAGCTTCACATAGAAAACACATGCACAGAAAACACACCCACGCATACACTCAGATTTGCAGCGACAATCCGGGCCCCTCCACCGTGACCCCGGCATCTGCTGCCGCTCGCGCAGCTGTGAGAAACCCTCCTTGGCAAAAGCCTTCTCAGGTAGCCCCTCAGATCTGAGCGGACAGTCGCGGACGCTGTGGCGTGATGTAAACACGACAGAAGGAGAAGAATGTGTGAGTTTTGTTTGTGTGACTCACCTGATAGGGGTTCTCCGGGTTGAACTCGGCCTCCACGTCCTCTTCTTCCTCCCCGGCCCCAGCTGCCTGGCGGCGCTGGCGGGGGGCGGCCCTCCTCTTCCTCTCTCCGCCTGCACACATCACACTCTCAGTATCTGACAGCAGACCAAATTTAGGAGCGGAGTGGCACTAATGTGGCTCAGCTCCTGATTGCACAGCCGCTTCTCTGGCAGCGTTTTGAAGTCCTCAGATGAAGTAGAATAAAATTGTGTTTTAGGAACTTTTGACCTCCCAGCATGCAAAAAATTGTACACTCGGGAGCTAGGCAACTTCAAAAGGACTTCTGCTTTTCTTTTTAGCCTGTTTTTCTTTCGGTGGCTTCAACAGCTGCGATGTTAAATGGAAATTATTGAGACCGTTTGACCCAGATCCTCTTTGTTCTGTGACAAAACTCACATAGACTTGAATATTGAGTGTTTTGCTGTCAGTTGTCTTTGGATATACATTTTCATATCTTTACCATGAGCTGTCTGATTGCTTACTGGGTGAGTAGGTTGGACGAAGCCAGAAGATTGGCAGGTCTCCACACAAGTCCTTTATCTTGTTGCTGAGGAAGGCAGAGTCCGAGATGGGAGCGCCAGCCGCCACCCAGATCAGATCATCCTCAAATTTGGCCGGCATCACCTCGTCCTCCTTCGGGGGGGTGATGAGGTGATGAGAAGCGAGACCAACAAACATCACAACAAAACATCTGAAAATGTCCTTGGCTGCTGAAGGCGTAACATAACACTTGTGTACGGATCTCTTTACTAGCTTTCCCCTTTAAATAGCCCACAGTCTTTGCATCCTGTCCGAGTCTAATCTGCATTAATGCTGTGCTGTTAATGCTCCTTATAACAACATAAAATCAAGCAGTAAAAAAAAAGCCCTTGAGGCTATAGTATACAGATTCCCTTTGCACTAACATTTAGCTGTATACACAATGTCAGGACTCATCAAGATCTGAAGGGAAGGAGAGATTGGATGGCCTAAATTTGCAGGTTTCTGCAGATAAACTAATGAGGTTTTCAGAGGAGAGACTTTGTAAACATGCATACTCTGTATCCATAGCCTGCAGGTAAAAGGGGAATTCTGTGGGGAGGGTTGTCGCCCAGAGGCATTTGTTCCTGAGGGCTGCACTGCACTAGCCACAGCCGTGTTTAGGGAATGTTATCCTCCAACCTTTCAGAAATGCTGTTTTCTCCCTCTGCTCAAATGATTTGCTGGAGGGACAAATAAAAGCGGGGGTCCTTCTCCACTGCTCGACTGATAAGAGTTTATCTGACCCACTCTCTCTGGATGGCGACGCATATGTGTGTCTATGTGTGTGTGTGTCTGTGTGTGTGTGTGTGTGTGTGTGCGCGCTTATCTAACCCATATTCGCCATCACTCTAAATTATAGCAAATGACCAGCCTGCAGCAACCATTAGAACAACATCTCCCAGTCCCACACACACGCACACACACACACACACACACACACACACACACACACACGCACACATACACGATGCACAAACACGAACCAAACGATCATTTATGAGGCAAATAGAGGCAATAACACAAACACACACAAAAGCACATTCGTGATATAAACGATCTTTTATGAGGCAGCGAGAGGCAATAAGAGCAGCCCTGCAGGATAATTAATTGTGTGCTCGTGTGTGTGCACACATGTGTGTTTATGTGCGTCCGCGTCTGTGTGCACAATCCTGGTGATGTGGATTTATGTGGATGTGAGGCTTATGCAGAGCTAAATGATTTTAATTATCAGACAGCCTCAATTGAACAATCACAGGCAGTGAAGTTGGTGTGATAGAAATCAACACGCACACACATATAGTATATTTCAGTGTAGCCCTCTCTTGTGTTTATTGATCTTAATAGAGTCCACTGAGCTGTTAAGTGATGGGAACCCAACACATAAAAATCACCCATGTGTTCCTGGTGGATCATTGGCTTGGGTGATTCACGCTAATAGCTTTATATCAGGAGTGAGAACTCTCTAAGGAATACTTTACAATGGGTTTATAAGTTGTAACCACTGGCTTTATGAATGGGCTAGTTTAAGATTTATTATTGCCTTATAAATCAGTAATAACAATGTGTCTTTTTAGCTGTCTTGTTATTAGAACGAGCCCGATATTAATAACTTACTAACATTTGTATCTTCAGATGTGATGGTTTATTAGGAAGCGAGGACGTTGTTAACATAGTGTGATGAGTTCTATAATGTAAGTTATGCAAATTAGTTAGTAAATCATTAATAAAGGTTTCTCCAGTTACAACAATCTGCAGTTGTAAATGTTATAGGTTGTAACATAGAACAGATTCTCTGCAGCTTTTCTTACGACGAAGCCCTATCTGCAGCCAGTGTTTGATTTGTCCCTTCTGGGCTACCGTAGAAACATGTTGGTTCAACATGGCGGACTCCAGGGAAGGCGACCCACGGCTCATTCTAAGGTAACCAAAACACAAACTATTCCTATATTCAGGTGATTATACACTAATGAAAATATACCTGTGAATATTATATTTATTTTCTGTGATCAGAGCCCCCTAAATGTTACACACTGGACCTTTAACTAAAATACTTTGGTCTAATTAAAATTTTGATTTATGATAATGGCACTGTGTGTGAGCCCTCAAGTTATTAAATTCATCCTGTGGTTAACATTAATGCATGTCCCAGGTTTTGTGCCATTCCATCTAGTAGATGCTGAGATGTTTCATTGGATAAGATTATTTTGAGATGCTGGTGGCGAGAAAAGTTGGGTGATTACCAACATCAATATGAGTCATCCTCTGGGGAGCATGAACGTCGAATATAATTTGTTAATTGTTGATACCAAAGTGGAGGACCAAAAAACCGACCGGACAGAGAGAAGCAGTGGTCACCCCCCCCGCCATTTCCAGTCTTTATGCTATGCTAAGCTAACTAGCTGCTGACAGTACCTTCACATTAGAGAGGTATTAATATGTCATCTGACTCTCAGCAAGAAAGCGTATTTCCCAAAATGTCAAATTATTACTTTAGAAGTTCAAATAATGGCCAGGCCCGGGTTACAGTTTGTTAAATTCATGCAGTGGAAAGGGGCTATTGATGGATTTCCTGAAAAGCACATTGCAGCACGGACAAAACACACCTTCTCAGGACACGTAAGACAGACAAGAGTAACCCACCAGGTCGAATGTCATCGAGTCCTTGTTGAGAGCGTCCACATCAGGCAGACGAGCCTTCACTTGGGTCTTGATGTAGCACTTCTCTCCTCCTGAAAACCGGATCCCAGTGATCCCCTGGAGAAGTCAGGAAGGAAAGGGGACAAACAAAAATTAGAGTTCACCACTTCTCCAGTTGTTGTTGCACTCTGCAGGTGTCTGCGACTATAGATCTGTGCATCAAATGTAAACGCTGCAGCTTGGCACCATGTTCAAGATTAAAAAATTACCCTCACAGGGACACTATGATTAAAGGTCAAAATTTTAATAGTTAAAAGGCCAAAACTGCTGCTTCACTACTTTGATTGGCCTGATTGGGATGCTTTAATTAAAGGTCAAAAACCACCAGTCCGAATTTAATGAAAATTGGAGAGACGAAGTATCTTGACACTGATTGGCCCAAAGGGAGATAACATGTCTACTTGCTCTTAATTTCTCCGCTGCTACAAGAGCCAATCTGCCCACAAGGGTCTTTAAAATTTCAACAAATCTGATCGACTTCTTCTCTGATGCTCAGAGAATGTTGATCAGTGTGTTGATGAGTCTGGTTTTCTGCTTTCTTATCTGAATCTCCTGATATTTTGGATTATTTTAGACCCAACTCACAATCTCAAAGTCATGGACCTCCACAGCTTCGTCCGCCCCGCTGCCGGTGCTGAATCTCTCTATGTTACTGGCTGTGTCGATCTCCATCGTCCCCTCCTCCACTTTTCCATTGATGCTCATGCTGTAGTGGACATTGTAGACCTGCACACACACACACACACACACACAGTTTTCAGACTGGCATGTAAGGTATGAGAGTCATGAGAGTCACCCCACCCCCAGTCCTCTCTCTTTCAACACTCCTTCTCACCCTGTTTCTCCAATCTTACCCTATGACTGTTGCTCACACATACAGCCTCTCTTTTGGGGATTTTTTCTTTCAGATAACACATTCATTCAGACTTGGTCAGAAGAACACAATCTGTACAGCTCTGGGTGATGATGACCCTTCTACAGAGCCTTTTCATCGTGTCTTAATAGCATTTTCCAGCTCCATAATGGGGGAAAAAACACTCAGAAAGCTACATTTTCCCCCTCATCTCTTCCACCTCTTGCCCCTGGAGCATCAGCCGGACCAAAGAGGCCCCCCCTACCTCTCTCCACCCTGCCAGGATACTCCAGCACACACCGCATACACACACAACGCCTCCATTCACCAAGCAGACTGCACCATGAAACTGGAGTGGTTAATTTACATTTTGCTGTTTGCCTACGCTGCAAGAAAAAAGGTCCATCTCGGAAAAATGACTTCACTTTAACAGCGAGTCTCCTTTTAATTCAAACAAGTTAAAAATTGTTCCACTGATCACTATATTTCACTTGTTTCCAATTCAAAACAGCTTGTTTCACGAATGACTTCAATCAAGTGACATTATTTTTATCGATTGTGAGTATGAGAGCTGAAAGTTTTAAAAGTAGAGTGAAACTACAGTGGAACAAAATGAACTATCTAGCATATCAGACTGCATTTGATTTAAGGTTTGATTGAAAGTATCCTAGAAGGGACTGTACAGAAATGTACAGATGGTGAGGGCAGCTGAATTTTATGTTTGTGTTTGTAAAAGAGAAAACCCACAGGATTATTCTTGTTTTCTTGACTGAAGACTGCAACATTTCCCCACAACATGTCAAAATGATACATATAACAGTCTTAAACTGGTACAACTTGTGTACTGTGTACCCTTACATGTAAACCTTAATATCCTAATGGAACTTCTAATGTGTGCCACCAATGAGCACATCAATAAAACCTGAGACACAGACAGAACTTCAGCTCTCTAAAGACATTCATAAAGAAGTAAAATGACAGTGCTATCCCCCTTCCTTACCCCCACCACCACATTATCATTTTCCTACAGTCCCTTACAAAAACAAATGTTTTGCAGTGCAAGTAAGAGAATCAATAAAATATTCATCTCACGTGTTTTTCATTGTTGTTCCAGAAGTAGAAAGCTCCGACTGCCCCCAGTAGCAGTAGGAGGGCCCCTGCGATGAGCACCGCGATCCCGGCCTTCAGGAGGCGGCCGGTGGCGGCGGGCTTCACGGCCACGGCAGAGTAGGCCTAAAAATCACACACACAACATCACCCTTGTAGATAACAAAATAACTGTATGTTTAGAACAAGCGAAGCTGAGTCCTACAAAAGATAAGTCACAGAGAAGGTTTATGGGCATCTATCCAGCATATGTAAGGTTAATAACTGAACACGTTAGACTCTTAATGGCCCCTACAGATGTACCTACAGTCTCCTATATTATAAACCTCATTATCCCCGACCACACTGAGCTGTACTGGCCTGTATGGAAACTCACCGGAGGCATGAACTGATGCAGGTCCTCTGGTCCCGCGGAGGCGATCGGTACTTTCTCTGAGTTCCCGGCCATGACTGGAGCCAAACACCTGAGGGAACCCCAGTCCACTAACTCTCTCTCTCTCTCTCTCTCTCTCTCTCTCTCTCTCTCTCTCTCAGGAGGAGGGTGGACACTCCTGCTCATTCAGACAAGTCGTGTTTTGTGCTGTAGCGCTGAAACTGCATGCTCACAACCTTTCCGGGTTTTTGTGATTTTAAATGTAAAAGTAAAACATGACCTCCAGTTGGTGATCGCCACAGTGTGAGCAGCCACTAATTTATGAGTTATGCTTTCTTTCAGAAAAAGCCTTAATCATTTTTTCCCTTTGAAGGCTGCTCATGTAACTTACATGAGTTTGATTCCTGCTATGATCCTCAGAATTTCATATCATTAAGCTTTATGACAACCTCTGTGGGGGAGACTAAGATCTATTCAGCAATTAAAAGGTGGGGATGGAGGGGTGAGGTTGTCTCCTCAAATCACCTTTGCGCACACCCCTTCTCTCCCTTCCTCTCCCTTCCTCTCCTCTGTCTCTCAATGCGTCCACAGGCGGTCGCAGGTCAAAGGTGACTGTGGCGGAATGTCGCACGTTTTCTCCAACTCTGAGACAGTGTGTTTGCATTGACAGTGTGCAAAACACGGCAGCCTGTTGGACAGAATTCGACCTTATTCTCTTACCTCTTCTACATCCGAGTCCGGAACTGCTTTGCTGTTATGAAAAAATGCCCTGAACCCATGAATGATAATGGAGGGATTACGTAAGGGGCCAGCGTGCGCATTTGGCAGGTAGACAAAAAACATCCTGACAGGATAGCAGGAGGATTTGCTCACAAGGACTTGATGTTCTTTGACAAAAATCACCTGTGTGTGGATGCCTATCAAACTTATCCGTAGTTAGATTTCCTCTCATGCGTGTAAGCCTTTTCTTTCTTTGGAGACAAACAGTAAATGCGCCTTTACGCAGAGTCAGTCTCATTATGTTTCTTCTATGTGCACATTTCAGGTGGTAATGATTTATGTAATGGAATCTGAGCATATCTCTGATTCTTGTGTTACCATGCAGGGCTGAGGCGGTAAAATGCAGTTAAAGTCCATGAAATGAGACAGAATAACTATGAAGGTTTCCGCTCTTGATATGCGTGAGGCGGCAGAGTGATTTGCTGGAAAACCTTGGCGTCTGTTCTGGCACCTCACCAGCAAAATCGTATTCACAAAAAAAAAAAAATACTAAACTGACCTTCCCCGGTGGGCTGCAAGGACAGAGGCTCACTGCTGCAATAACAGCGACGCCTGTTGGCTTTTACTAGTGACTGATATTCCTGCAAGGCATCCACAAACCTCCTGCTCACCTCACCCGGATCATAGTCTTTCTGAACAAACACATCACTCACTTTCTCAGAACAGTATTTCAAAGTTTATTTTCTCTCAGAATATTGTGATGATAGAAAAAAATCTGTACAATTACTTGTTGCATTCAAATAATTTCATACATCGTTATCAACTTGATACACTGTGGGTCACCTGGCCCTCAAACTGCACAGTTTCTGGGGCCATTTTAAATAGTCAGCGTGCTTAAAGATCAATAATTACAATTCATATTTACATATCTTTGCTTAATTATTACTTTTATAAAAAATAAATCCTCTGTATGTACAAAACTTGCATATGATACACTTCATGTCCAACAAAATTTCTCAAAGTGATTGAATGGACATCAAATGTGACTTTTACATTAAAACACAAATATTAGGATATAAACTTATATATGCACTCTCTCCACAGCAACAAATAACTTCAAAAGTTACATTATTCTCATTGTCAATGAATCATAAATTAAAACTTTTAATACACTATACATTTCTTTGAGAGTGAGCTTAGGTGTGTGTGTGTGTGTGTGTGTGTGTGTGTGTGTGTGTGTGTGTGTGTGTGTGTGTGTATGTGTGTCTGTGTAAATGTATGTTTTAGACTTCATTGTTGGGACAGTGTGTTGGGGTGGGGGTGTAAACAGGGAGGGTTATATCACTGATCTCCTGCACCCTCACAGGTCTGGGTGGGGTGACCAGAACGTAGTCGTACTCTCTGTGTAGCACCTTCTCGTACACGCTCTGCAGCCCCACTGTTTTGGGGATGTGGGCCTGGTAGAAGTTGTCTCTGCGGTGGGGGTCCCGGGGAAGGGAGGCCGTCTTCGAAAGGCTGCTGAAGGAGGAGAGGGTCGGGGCTGGGGAGGGCGCTGCATTGGCTCTTACTGCCGAGGGGCTCCAGCAGCGATCCGAGTGACCCAGGACCTTACATTCGCTGGTGCAAGCCCACAGAGCTGGAGGGGAGGCAGAAAGGAGAGTTAGACTTAGAGCCAAAGCACAAACACATCACTGACATCATTTTATACAGCCATTCAAACTTGCCATTGTTGTTGCCCTTACCATTTTGGCCACCCATGGGAGGAACCACTGCCCCATCTTTCTTCAGGCCAGTGTCTCCACTGACATCACTATCACTGTCGTTGAAATCACTGTCCCCCTTGCCACTGTCTTTGCCACTGAAGGCCGGGTCCCTGGCAGAGATGGTGGTGTAGGAGTTGCCCTTCCAGATAGTGATGGGCCTCACAGCCTCTTTGCCATTCCCATAGCCAGGCAGAGTGGAGTAGCCCTGCAGGAGGAGAGAAGAGAAAGAAAACAGAGGTTAGTGTCTGCTGGATGAAACACATTGCAGAATGCTCATTGTTGTGTGCCACCCTACCCATCCCCTCCCCTACCCACCCCTCCCCTCCTGAGCACAATGTCCCCAAAGGTGCATCTCACCTCGTGCTTATTCCCTCGGAGCTTGCTGTTGCTGTCTGAGTCATACACGCAAGGCACCTCGCTGCCGTCCTCTGAGGCCGAGCACATGTCGCTGCCCCCAGGGTGAGCCGGGGTGAACCCGCCGGGCTGGCTGCTGTAGGAGTGTCCCTCAAAGCCCGCTCCTGCCCCGGTCCCGTGGAGGGGCAGAAGCGGGTTGTCCGCCACGTGGTTCCTGCCCCTCTCCAGCGTGCCCTTCTCCCCGTACGAGTCGCTGTCTTCTCCACTCTTGTCCCGCTTGCGCCGGTTGCAGGTGGTGGCGATGAGGATGATGGCGAGCAGCAGGAGCGTGCAGCTCCCCGCGAGCACAACGATAATCACCACCGACAGGTCCCACTGCGCGTGCACCTCGTCCCCGCTGCCCGACTGGTACACTGTCCTGTCGCTCGGCGGGGAGCCCGCGATGATGACGAAGTGGAGCGTGGCGGTGGAGGTGAGCGCGGGCCTCCCGTTGTCACTCACCGTCACGGTCACGCTCAGGGTTTCGTCCACGTCGTGGCTGAGCACCTGGTTGAGGTAGATCTCTCCGGTGGCTTTGTTCACGGAGAACACGGAGGGCTCACCGGTGGCCAGCCCGTAGGACAACTCCGAGTTCACGCCCTCATCCGCATCCCGCGCCTCTACCCGGGTGATGACGTAGCCGCTCGGTGCGTCCCGGGGCAGGAGGACTTCAGCGGAACCGTTATTGAGCGCCGGCTGAATGATGACCGGTGCGTTATCGTTCTGGTCCACTATCCTCACATAGACGTTAGCGCTGCCGGACAGGGGAGGGGAGCCGCCGTCGCTGGCCGTGATACGGAGCTCCAGCTGTTTCATCACCTCGTAGTTGAAGCTCCGGAGCGCGTAAAGCGACCCGCTGGCGGGGTCCAGTGAGACGAAGGTGGAGATGGGGGAGCCCATAAAGTATGTGTCCGCCAGTTTGTAGCTGACCTTCCCGTTTGACCCCATGTCCATGTCCCGCGCCACCACCGTGGTGATGTACGCGCCCGGTGCGTTATTCTCCACCACGGCCACCTCATACACCGGTTTACTGAACACCGGAGCGTTGTCGTTCTCGTCCGTCAGTCTGATTGTGTACTGAGTGATGGTTCTGAAGGGAGGGGAGCCCAGATCCTCCGCCACCACTGTGAGGTTATATTCGGGGATTTTCTCCCGGTCTAACGGGCTGGTGCTCACTATCATGAAGCTGTCCTCGTACGCCTGCTGCAGTCTGAAGTGATCGTGTCCGTACAGCGTGCAGTGCACCTGTCCGTTAGCGCCGGAGTCTCTGTCCGAGGTGCTGACCAGAGCCACGAAACTCTCCCTGGCCGCCGCCTCGGTGATGTACGCTATTCCCGCCGTGATGGACGTCATGGGGGTGATGGAGATCTCCGGCGCGTTGTCGTTAACGTCCTGCACCTGCACTACAATCTTGCAGATGGCCGGGCTCGGGTTCGGTCCCAGGTCGGTGGCCTGGACGTCAAACTCGTACGTGTTCTTACTTTCAAAGTCAATCGGGCTCTCCAGGGTGAGCCGCCCGGTCTTCCTGTCCACTCTGAAGAGTTGTCGTATTTCTGTGGGCACCTGGTTACCGAACCCGTACACCACCTCGCCGTTCAGCCCCTCGTCCGGGTCCTCCGCGTTCAGGTCCAACAAGAGGGAGCCCACCGGTGCGTCCTCGGGCAGGTCCACGGAGAAGCTGTTCCTGTCGAACACCGGGCTGTTGTCGTTGTAGTCTTTCACCTTGACGTTGATGCGCGTTGTTCCGGTCCGGGACGGGTTGCCACCGTCCATAGCAACCAGCTCAAGCGCGTAGGTACCCTGCGTCTCCCGGTCCAGCTCCTTCATCAGCACCAGCTCCGCATATTTAACCCCGTCGGCCCTGCTAAGCACGTCGATTGAAAAGTGGCTGTTGACGGAGATCTGGTAGCTTTGGATGTAGTTCACCCCAACATCGTCATCCACGGCAAAGTCTAGCGGGATCCGCGTGCCCACCGCTGTGTTTTCGGAGATCTCCAGACTCGACTCTTTCCGGGGGAACTCGGGGGAGTTGTCATTGATGTCCTTGACCTCCACCTCGACGTGGATGAGTTTGAACTGCTCTTTGGAGAAGCTGACCACGTCGAAAGCGATGAGGCAGTGCAGGGTGTGTTTGCAGATCCGCTCCCTGTCTATCCTCTCTCCTATAGTCAGCTGCCCGTCGCTCTCCCTCAGACGGATGAAAGAGGAGTTGAACTGTTTCATCATCCTGAAATTGGTCCTGGAGCCCCCCGATGAAGAGCCAGTGGAGGAGATGTCCTTGGCCAAGTTTCCAATCACTGTCCCTGGTGCGTCTTCCTCAAATGTCTGATATTTTACCGTCTTTCCTTGTGTGACAGCGGCCAGGCTTGTCAAAAAGACGCACACTAGCACCAACAGCCCGTTCCACCCTATTCCTCCCATCTTGACACCTTCACTCCAAAATAATCTGAAATTCAACAAACTGTGCGCACTGAGTCCGATTTAAAGTTTGAACACAAAGCACCTGCAAAAAAGCTATTCCTTCCCCGCTCTGGTCGACTCTCCGGGGTTGTTTGTTTCTTTGTATAAAGCCAGTAATAAATATTCCATATGTCTTTCAATGCGCACTCTGGATGCGCTCCGCTCTCTCTCTCTCTCTCTCTCTCTACTGGAGGTGTGCTGCTCTCTCAGCGCAAGAGGGCTGCAGTGTCTGCAGGAGGGTTTATACGGCGAGGCATGCAAATGAGCCGCACTGTGACCAATCCGAGCTTTGAGAGGGGAAAAAAAGGGGGACTTCTGAAAGACCTCTAAACCCTGTTTAGAGATTCCTGGACTGTGCGGAGAAACTTGGCACCCAATATGTGGGCTAAACGCGGGGCTTGATTTAATACAGCTATAGTTTCCGTTGCTTGTTTATGTTCCTCGGGCTGTTAAATGAGTCTGCGCACCGACACATGGGGGGGAGCACAGAGATGCGCAGTGTCCCTGAGCTAGAGGACAAAGCATTTGAATAGGAGTATCTGTTCAGGATGCTTTACCCTATAGGCGCACTTTCGGTGTAAAGAGATTTATGCTTAAACACTGTTCGGTTGGATCCCCACGCACGTGTCCTGTGTAACCCACTGGAGTAAAAGCAGTCAGTGGCAGGCTGAGCTGTCCCACTGACCTCTCCACTTCTGACAGGGAAATAACTTCATGCAAGAATATGACGTGATTTGTCATTTTCTCCAACCTCAGAGTGCCCTGATCCACTCACCCAGACAGATAAGATTTCATATAATGGACTTATGATAGACCCATAATGCTGAGACAGCTTAACATGCTGAATAATGGCAGGACCAGAGATTCAACAGAATGTGGTGTAACTGGTGGTAATAGCATCATTTTAGTGCTCATTTTATTCTCATTAATAAATTCCATAAATGTGCCTGTCTTCTATTATTCATCCCCCCAGTGTGTTGTAATCCAGTAATTGTTTGCCTATCAGATCATATCTGAGGCTGGAAAAGGACTATATCCACTTAAACATTGATTTTATTCTAATTCGGTCTCAGCTCAGATCGGCTCACGAGATGTCTTGTGCGCGAGAGAGGGGATTTTTTAATTAAAGCCAGTGTAACGGCCCGGTTTAACATGCGACTCTCCTTGGCCTCGCCTGCCAGAACAGAGAGGCGCAGGTGAAGACGACACACACACACACACACACACACAGGCGGTCACGCACGCACTCACACAGCCTTCCACGAACCCGTTACAAATGGGATTTGGCTGTAAACGCAGGGGGGATTTATCAGGATTTCAATAGTGAGATTATATCAAAGGCGTATGAAGCCCTCGTTAGTAGCGGCGGGATAATGGCATGGCAGGGTCTCCCTTTGCAGCCGTCCATGCCGGTATTGTGGCCCCTGAGCCGGTCTGTGGGGACCCTAACCCCCGCTGCCTCCATGCAGCCCTCCGCCTAACTGCAGCATAATGAGGCAAAGCCACATGCAGCCTTTGTACCATCCTTCCATCCACACTCCCCCCTCCCCTCCTCCTTCCCCAGACCTGCCCCGGTCCGGCCACGACTCCTTTCATTACAGGGAGATGGGAGATGAATTGGCCTGGACATCAGGGTCCCTCCTATTAAAATACATTTAGAGAGAGACCGGGGCCCCGTCACGGCTCTTTAAGAGATTTTCCTCATTCTTCCCATTGGACTCCCCCCCCCCCCACACACACACACACACACAGGCACACACAGCTTCTTTTTCAGGGGCAACACTTGCCTTGCAGTAGAAGCTAATATCAGTTGGCATGTTCTATAAAGAACCCATCTGCCACAGAAAGTCAAATAGGAGACACCTGAATGGACAACATCTAGTCAAGCAGCTTGCATAGTTAGACACAGTCAGGCCTGTCCTAAACGATAAGGAGATATCATTCTGTGTTTAATTAACATTGCAGCTAAACTATCAGCTCTTATAGGGATGTTATATAAATACTAGCACCACTTTCCAATCAGACTCCTTTATAAAGAGAGAAACTAACTAATGGTGTTACAATAAATAATTGACTATAGCTCATCAGTTATGATCCTTTAATAAGAACAGCTGTTGCCTTCCCAGGTTATGATAAGTCCCTTTCTCTTGTCCTAAATTTGCATTTTATTTCAGCCGTCCTTGCAATAAATAGTTACCCTCAAAAAGACAACTTTCACTTGTGACATGGTTCATAATGTTACCACATGCTGGAGTTCTGTCTCTGCAGGTCTGATTAATATGTATTACACAGCGGTGTCGCACATTAGAAGTTCCATTAAGATATTACGGTTTAAATGGAGGTACACAATTAAACAAATGAAACAAACTAATTCAACACTGTTATATCATTCTGACACGTTGTGGGGAGAGTGTTACAGTTCTTAAATCAAGAAGAGAGTTCAAAGAAAACATTAATAACTATGGGGAGGGACTTTTACAAAGTTAAACACAAGGATCAGCCTCCAGCACCACCCCAATAATATGTGTACAACCCCTTGATAAGTTGTTAATACAGGAGTTTTTGTCCAGATTTGTCCTGTTTTAGAAAAAGGTTGCAGAACAGTTGGGTGAAAAAAGAATGTATTACCAACTTGTTAAACTTTTATTTATAGCCTACATTACCCACATTTCTAACTGCATTATTGGAAAGGATAAATAAGGATAAATACCAACCAAAGGAATTTGTTTCCACAGCCTGGCAGCCCTTTAAATGTGCAGTTATTGATGATCATAACTGATACATAAAGTAGTAATAAATGGTTTATAAAGGATGTAGAGTAGCAGCATTGGATCAAATGATAAAATGAAGATAACTGATGAATGTGTTGCAAGCAGCAGCAACATTCAGTCCGATCCACTAGCTCCTTCTTTCAGTGTGAAGCATTGTGAGAGCCCATTCTGTCCACACTGCAGGCGGAGAGGGTCCATTGAAGCGCAGTAATAATGTGCTCTCTGTGGGGCCGCGTGAGAAGCATCGTGTTTATTCTCATTTCTTTATGTGTTTAGAGTACACAGCACTCTGACGGTATTCTAATACCACTCAGCATTCTCTCACACACAGACAGACAGAGCAATCAAAAGCAAATTACACTATGTTGAGTCTCGCCTGGCGGATTAAACCCCCCTGCGCGTGCACGTGCACGTGCGTCGTGGAGACAGGGAGACTTTCTTACAGTGTTTGACGGGCGTTTGCTTCCCCCCGCCCCCCCAAGCAAAGCTGTCATCTGAAGGACACACACACCTTAAAAAAAAATAATCTCTCACGTGATCACCGTGTCAATCTTGCCCGTCTGCACGCGAGTTCAACAATAGCAGAATTAGAGAGAGTCTCCAAAATCCCCTCTATTCTTCACGGGGCATATTAGCATTTTCTTTAACATATATAAATATATCTTTAGAGGATCCCCCTCCTCACCCTCCCTCTCCTCCTTTCTTTCTTTTCTCCTGCATTGTGGTCCCATTTGCTCTAGTGATCGCCGGGTATTTGGGGTCTGTAGCCGGTCGCCCGATCTCTGCCTCTTGTTGGGGCTTAACGCATTGAGATGGAAATAGGCGATTTGGTCTCTTTTGTCCACCAGATAAGCGGTGGAAGGAGAAAGTGGGTAGAGGGAGCAGGAGGGTGAGAAAGGAGGGATGTAGGCTATACGTGTGTGTGTGTGTGTGTGTGTGTGTGTGTGGAGGGGGTGTCTAAGATAATCGATCAGAGCGCTGAACACCCCCCCCTCCGTCCCTCACATCCCCCCTCCCCTTCCCCTCTCAGCTAACCTTTGCTTAACTCGCGTGCCATCACAAGCACAGAGTCCTAATTGGTTCCCAGGAACTAATTATCCAATTATCGCCTCTCCACCGGAGAACCGCACTCCAGGGCTCGTCTGGGTAATGGCCTCATCCTCTACACTATTGATGAAAATGATTAGGAGTGAATGCGCCCATCAGCTCCAGAGTGCAACACTTGAGAAACTTGTGTCACGGCCCCTGTTTAGAGTTCTTTAAGAGAGGATCGCACTTCACTTACACAGGCTTGATGCGCCCATTCAACCTGCATTATTCCTTAACTATTACAGAAAACTGAATACATGATAAAGTGGTGTGCGGATTAATTAGGCCCTTTGTGTGGCCCTCAAGGTAAAAAAAATAGAGGTTGTTGGCTGAGACTCTGAGGCTGGCACTCCAGTTAAGGTCATAATCTTTTATGCAGAGTAGGGGGTTTGGTTCAGAAAATGTTGTTTATTTGAAGCTAAAAGTGTCAATTTATTTAAAAGTAGTTTCTATACTTTCTAGACGTTTCTTTAAGGGAAATGTTTCACTTTCCAAAAAAGCTGATTCCTCCCGGGGTTATTATTCTTATTTTCTATATGAGAAATTATTAATCGATTAGTTGATCTACTATTTTGACAATTCATTCCTATTTTGAGATAATCTTTAAACCAAACATTTGCTAGTTCCAGTTTAGAATGTGATGCCTTTCTTACTCTTATATGATAGTTAACTGTATATATAGGTTTATATTTTGGTTTTAGACTGTTGGGCAGACAAAATATAACATGTGAAGATGTCACCTTGCTCTGAGAGGTTGTGATGAGCACTGTTATGTTGCTATTTTCAGATACACACTGCGATTAAGCGATGAATTGATCAAATAGTTGACAGATTAATCGATAATAAAAACAACTGTTGCAGCCTGAATATGCCCGAAAGTTGTAGCAATATAACAGTTGTTAAGTTGGTACAACTTGTTTATTGCCTTTTGTACCCCAATATAATATCTCAGTTAATGTCTTGAAAGTGTTAATTGATTAGTAGCCTACGTCTCAATTAAAGATTGTGGATGGAACTGCACCAAACTGCGGTGTAAATCTACTTGCTTTAGGAAAAACAACATAGGCTAATTGATAATCTAGAATAGAGATGTCTGCAGACTATTGCGCATTCCGATTGCTCCATCAGGGGACCAATAGTCTGCATGTAATACTGCAACAAGCAGTGAACTGCAGCGAGCCAGATCTGAATGGAGCAGCAGGCATGGACTGGCACCAGAGTGCCACCAGATTGATAACGTCCAGTTACATTAAACATTTATTCTCTTTTCCCCATCTCTTTTTCTTTTAGTTAACTTCTGCTCCGATCCATCACCTTCCATCCCATCTGTCGCTGATAGCTGCAACACTTTGAATAAATTCCTCCCGACAAACAAAGCGGTTAACATCTCATGAATGCAGCTTTTTACACCCCATACACAGATTGTGGGGAAACTTTAGGGCCAGTGGAGTAACTAGTGCAAAGAAATCTGTCCTGGGACACTCCCTCTTAGCTTCCA